CATTATAACATTAATTGAAATGATAGGTATAGCCAAAACTTTTATAACCTGCATCGTCATATCTGTTGATTCTTAATTTAAAAAGCAGAGTAAATAAAGTGTTGAAGCAATAAAATAGCTGAAAATATACAAAAGCAAATAAATTTCTTTTTGGCTGAATTATATTCTAAAAATACTTTTTCAGTTCATAAGAAGATAAGGTAAGAAATACTTCTGATTTTTCTGTTCTCAATAAAATTTAAAAAAAATCTTGCCAACGACTGGCTTGCTTCAGCTAGAATTTTTAATTGATATAATAAAAATTCTGAAATCACAAAAGTTTAAAAGATAATTTGCTCTAGAAAATTCAATACACACAAGTAAATAATTCAAATATATTACTTCCATATTATTATATCTACGTATATCCAATATAATAAATAGGAGCGCAAAAAATTGCCTGAATAAAAAAAACTCTACAAACTCCACATAAATTTAATAACGAGAAAGATACCTAATTAATTATAATGCAAGAGATTTAAATATAAACAAAAAGAAAATATGTGGGAGGTACATACTTGTCAACAACTTTTTTGAGTTGATCTGACTAATGTCAGATCTATGAGGATAAGCAACAACACACCAACTGTAGATTTATGCAGTGAGGCAGCAACAATAAATGACTGGTTAGTGAAATAGTTACACTAAGAACTACTTAGTCAAGCAATGTGACATTTATACGTACTTAGCATCAGCACAAATCTTTAATAACAGATGTTCTTGTCAAGAGTGGGGCTAGACTTAACCCGACAGGGGGTCAGCAATCCCCCGACAGGGGGGCTAAGATAATTTTGAAAATAAGCAATACATTTTAATATACGAATAATAATTAATTTGATGTACACATTTTTGTTCTGATAAAGAATTTATCACGATTCAAATATTAACAAAGAAAAAAAATAAAGGTGATATATGAATAAATCAAAAATATATGCACATCCAGCATAAGATTCTACAGTGTTCTCAATTAAATAATATTCTACTCAAACAATAAAAAATTTATGCACAACAAGAAAAAATTCCAAAGATATCCGAAGAGCAAATTAAAACCAGTTAAGATATTTTTGTAACAGAGATATTTTTTTTAAAATTAGTATAATTAACTAATAACTAGGTTGTTCAATTTTATTTTAATTTATACATTAATTTTTTTAAAACTCGAGTATTTTAGAAACTAAATAATATGTCATCTATATTAAAACAAAACTATAATTTGATTTACTTAAATATTATAGTTTTCTCATTTACGCTTCAGTTCCACTTGTTAAGAAACTCAAGAATATTGTTAAATAATACTAACTCGATAAATGGAATTTTTTAAAGAAAATGTTCATTGGTAAATTATTTAAGATTGAGTAAAAAATTTAATCAGGTGAATCATTTAAGTCAACCAGAGCTAAAAAAGATGTTAAAATAATCAAAAACCAGTTTATTTGCAAGATGAAGCTGTTAGGAAGTGATAAAAGATAAATGTCTTCCTTATCTTTCTGTAAAAAATTAAATAGCTAATAAATAAATGTATGATTTTAAAACTTTAATCGCTAAGACCAAAAAACCGCTAGAAGTTATTTCTGTAGGAAGAACTATAACCTGTAATTTTAATAGAAATAATTGACTGTGTATAGTTAAGATTTATAATATTTTTGATTTCCTAATGTAATTTAATTCGGCTTTTAGGGTAACATCGAAATATTTCACGCCTTTCAATTCGCTCAAAATGTTATAATTAATATTATTCATAAAAGTAGTATATCAATCAGTAATAGTAGTAAAAATATTTATTTTAGTAATAAGACATGATTAAATCAAATTATGCAAATTTTTACACAGTTTTATTTTTATTTATTTGTAAATCGCACAGCAAATTGAAATTTAATTTAAACGCATATACAATATATCCAATACATCGTCCGAAAAACTTTTCCAATAAAAATTAAATAAAAAAAATTGGTGACTTTTGTTTAAATGGACGCAAATATAATGTTATGCAAAGCGAAATTATAATTTAATAAACAACAAAAGTAAATGTTTGAACTAATGTTCACAAAATAAAAATAATATATATTTTGAAACCTAGGAAAGCTTATGTAAGTTTTTGAACAGTTTTTTTTCCCCTCATGCTATATTATAAGGAAATTGTTTCATACAATAGCCAAAAGTTTTAACAAAACTAGGCAATTAGTCTTACTTTTCATTTTTCAACGAAAACTGCTAAATGAATAAAATTTTAGTTGAAACATGAAATGAAAAAAAATTCGAATATGAAAAAGCATCCAGGAGGAGTTTCCTTGTTTTCTGGATTGGTTCAAAATTACAAGGCTACGGAGTTGAACCTTAATAATCATAAACCCATAAATTGGGTCGAATGTTCGACGACGGATAAAATAAAATAAAACAGCAACATATACAAATTCTTATATAATTTTATGGAAGGTAATTTTAAATTGTGAAATACAAAATTTGAATGAAATCGGTTGAATAATTCGAGATAAATAAAATTTTAAGCAAACCGACTTTTTTAAAATTTGATAACTCAGAAACTAATCGATCTATTGTTCTGAAAGTTTGTATTTTGAAATTAAAAGGATGAAAAAATATGTAAAGCATACAATTCAATATATTTTGCTATTATTTAATAAACTAGTAAAAAATAACAAATAATTATTTAAGTTTGTTTTTGCCTAAAAATTTGTGCATAATTTTTTTTTTTTTTTGTAATTTTATGCAAACATTTTTCAATACACTCAAAAAGTTCTCGAGATAATGCGCAATAATCGAACACTGAAGTTAAAATTAAAGGACCCAAACTTTCCATCTCTCTCTTTGCCATAACTTCGGCCCATATCTTTCAGATTGCGGCTGTTTCCGCATTTTGAAAATTTAAAGCCTAAAACTACAGACGAACTTGTATGGTTATCCAGAACAAAATGCGCTTTAAGTGTTCATTTTCGTAACAAAAAATATGGTATTGACTCTTTGTACGTGAATATACGATTAAATCAAAAATTAATCAAGGTGTTCCCTTTTTCCATTTCATACACTGTACATAAAATAAGTCAATGAGAATCTATCATGTTGATTAATATATATTTTAAGATATTGAATACGAACAGTTTAATTGCTTTTCTGAATCAATCAACAATCTTTTTACTACTAAGAAAATGATAAAAAAATAATAAATTAAATCTGCCTAAGAAAATAAAATAAATTAAAAATATTTTGTTACTGTTAGCTTTTCTTTTTTTTTCCGACAGCATATTTATTGCGTTGATTTAAATATAAACCTTGAATCCGAATAAGTAAATTATTTTCCTCATTTAAAAGTATTAAAAAAAATGAAAAAATTAAAACTGAAATTTTTTTATTTTATTCACATGCTTTCATTTTGCTTGAAAATTTCACAAAGAATTTTCACAATTCAATTATGTGATCCCATAAACCATTGACAAACATATTACATAGAAAAGAATTTGTAAAAAAGAGGACCTGTGTCTCTTTCTGGACCGCAGGCTTTTATCAGCTATTCCCCCAGCGATTATCCCCTCCTCAGTTCTCCAGAAGAAAGAATAGCTGTTTGAAAGATAAGTTTCCAAGAAAATGAAGATGCGTCTGTGGGGAAAGGATTTCTGTGGGTCTTTGAAAAGTCTTCAATTCCAACCATGTCTAATCGCATCCGGACTCTTGTTTAACAATGTATGGGCAAAGATACGAGTAGTGTAGTGCATAGAATTTACAATATATTTTACTAATTTATTTACTAATACTTAAAAATAAATAAATTAAAAGTCAACGACAAAATGTTTTATTAGGTAGTTGTAAATGAATTTTTGACATTATTTAGAAAAAAATGTGACCAGACTATTTTCCCAACGAGACTTTAAAGTTTTCCCGATGGGGGGGCTGGCCATGCCCGACAGGGGTGCAATTGCCCCCCTGACCCCCTACTGGCGTCGCCCTTGGTTCTTGTAGGTATTTCTTTTCCTACAAATTATGGTCATAACGTGCAATTTCATCGCTTCCACATAAGACACACTGAGGCTGCTGAAGGAGATTTTAAAGGATTCATCTTATTAGTTCATGAAAAGATATTCTTAACCTGCAACACATCTAGAAATTCAAAACACAAAGACGGACAAATCACAATTTGCGCAACAATTGCTTAACATTATACCAGCTATAAATCGTTTTCGCCATTTTCACACTAAAAAAATCGGGCATCCAAGCTCTTGGCGATAGAATTCGTTTGGTAATCACCTATTTCAGCTGATCGCCAACGTTTAGGGTTATAAAACGACTGGCATTCAAGACAGTGCGTTTAAGGCTCAGTCCACTGCCTGCGGAACCCGTTAATTTATTTTTACTTTCTATGATTTGCGCATGAGCTATAAGCTAACGTACAGTGCTCGTCGCACTTTTCTACAATCCTCAGATTATCGCCCACTTTCAATTTAGAAGGAATATATTTTAATTTAGAGATGTTTCCTTCTAAAATCTTGTACTGTTTTTAGAATAATTTACGATAATATAATTTTATATAAATATTATTTATTAGTTGTTGACTATTTTGAAGCTCAAAATTGTCAAGTGAATCTAAATTAAATTTCACATTTTTGATGTTCTGAAAACAAACTGCTTAGGTTTTGTTTCTGAACTTTTAATTTGTTCTTCGTTTTACTTGAAGTTTATATACATGTATATATAAATTTTTATCTTCAGAATTATTTGTATTTTTTATTATTTTCTGAAGATAAGACTTCACTACTGCCTTCTTTCTTTTTACTACTATCAAAGTTAATGCGAAAAGAGTTATGCCAAAATTTCAATTGTTATTAAAATTTATTTTTAAGCTCTTATCGCATTAAGTTTTATTTTATTTTATTAAATAAATGTAAAATTTTGAAATTATAACTATGTTTCAGTATTCTTATTTAATTTAGCTCATAGAGTTTGCATTTTTTATGGGGTTTATTATTTATAAAGGTAATTTTTATATACTACTTGGTTCACATACAGAAAAATGTATAAAAGTTGCATTATTAGTTAACATTTTTTATGCAGTTTTATTAAAAGGCTTATTTTAAATGATAGAATGATCTAGAAAGAAATGAATGAATAATAAAGGGCTAATTAATAGTTTGCTGTTTATTTATAATTTAATATTTGTTACAATAACAAAGCATCGAGGGAGATATCTACATATTAGGAAATAGCAATATTTTTAATGTAACTAATCTATAAATGTATATTGGTCAGTTTTCCAACACAGAGCTTTTGGAGCCCACTACAGATTGTCCTGACAATGCCATTCGAAAGCAAACTGAAAAGTTTAATAGATTTTCATCATAAGAGAAGGTTGCAGTTGTTCTTTTTGTGTTTGTATTTTTTTAAAAAAATAAATAGACAACTTTGTGTCAAATTTAAATGTTTAAAAACAAACTTTTTGCTTTAAAACCAAATATTTTCCAATGCTGGACAATACTTTTTTGGCAATTATTCATCAAATTAAAAATTTATATAAATCATGTATTTTGAAATTGAAAATTTGTGTATTTAAAGTAAAATGATCAAACCACAGTCAGTAGGAATGTTCTCGAAGTTTGTAAAATGTGTGAATTGTATTTTATTATTCTTTAAGATTTTTAACTTTTAAAAGATATTTAAAATATTGATAAATGAATTATTCATCAATTGTTAAATGATTAACAACCGTTAAACAATAAAGTTTCAGAAATTTGAAGCGGGCTCCAAAAGCTCCATGTCGCAGAACAGACCCATTGAACAATATTTTCTCTTCAAAGTGAAGGAAAGAACTTTTTTTCTAAAGCACTCATAATAACCATAATTTTAAGAATAACTGAGTAATCTTACAAATTTGACTGCATGTAGATAAGTAATAGAAAAAATATAATTTTTGTCTTATTTATAAATAAAACCATACATTTTTATGTATTAAACGAGCAATCCCCTTGAAGCAATACAATGCTGCCATGTCTTCTGAAAGAAATAGCTAACTTTTTGATTTGTACAGAAAATATTATAAAGACATCTTTAATATATTTCTGTTTACCTTAGAGATAGTGTTTTAATTAAAAATATATATATGTAAGTGGTGTATTTTATACTATGTTGTGTTACTTAAAATTGCAATTTATGCCATTGTCTAAGCCATGCAATTTATTGTCTATACATGCATCATTCGACACTGGATACTTACAACTCATTAAATCGTTCTTTGTTATGATATACTTTCTTTCTTTTTTTGAAATTTTGTACTGAAAAACTTATTTATTTTTAGAATTACTTGAAAATGGTTACAGCAAATGAAAACTGTACATTTTGTCACCTTCAAAATACAACTTTATTCTATGAAGTAAGCCATTTTTAAATATAATATTGATTACTTTACATTAGACTAATCTTCATTATTTTTTAGTCCATGATTTTTCTATGTCAAATTAAACTATTCTCCTGACTTCTGTTATTGCTAGCATGACAATTGCTAATTGTGGCATTGCAATGTGGTTAGCATTGCGCACAGGTAGAGTTTACTTCTCAGACAATCTGGTACCTATCTATCTGATGAGGGATTGGCTTCAAGCCAACTCTGGGGATCAAACCCCAGTTTTTAACAACTGTTCAGTGATTTACTCATTGACCAATTGTGGCTCCTTGGCTAGAATAATTAAGTATAAAATTGCTAATTTTGTAATATATTGGTGGAGTAAAAGTAGTACTTTATTTATGTACGCCACCCTAGAGCTGCACAATGAGCTATTGGCGACTGTCTGTGAAATGTTCCTGATAATGAGCTAAAGATATGCCATCGTAATTTTGAACTTCTGCACAGAGAAAAAAATTAACATATTGTAAAAATATTAGCTACAAAATAATTTTTTTTATTGAAGCTATTGAATTTCATACTTATTTGACCAAAGTTGAAATTTCATTCAGTAAACTGGGAATTTCCCCTTAGAATAAGCTTGTGGCACGCCTATGTACTGGAAACATTGAAAGATCTCAGTTTTACTTAATTATATTCATTAATTTCTCCAGATCTATAAAAAGTATGTTGTTTGATATTTAAATTCATTATATTTTGCTGATTGTTAAATTTAAATTGAAAGATGAGACATCAAAGCAAACAATAATAGTTTTTATGTGAGGGCTACTTTAAAAACAATTGGCTAAATAAAAGTTAAAATCTAAATTTATAGGTTAGTAAAACTTTTCAATAAAAACGAAGTTAAAGGTGTATCATAACAAAAGGGAAAGAAATGTGATTTAAAAAAATTAGGGAGTGTCGAAATATTACTTACAAAGAGGAGGTGAGCAATTGAAAAAGATAGGGAATCTATGCATTAGATCCATCCCGTTAATATTATAAGTACAGTAGAGCGCCGATTATCCGAACTGCTCGGGACCGAACGTGGTTCGGATAATGAAAAGTTCGGATAATTGGAAAGTTGCTTAAAATCTAGTTTAAATGATTATTATTTATGCACTACCTTCCCTTCACACTTTTTCCAGATTTAGGACTGGCAGAGGCTAAAATAGCTCTGTGGTCTAAAATAGTTCTTTAAAAAAAAAAAAATTGAATTTTTAAGCATTTTGTATTTATTTTTTTAAAACTTTTTTTTCATTTTGATTTTTTTTATCATATTTCAGCTTTTTAAATTTTTTGTCAATTACTGACATTTATTTTCCATTGCAAAAGAAATCCAGCAAAGACTTTTGTTTCAAAGAAGATGCTCTTTTCGAGCAGCCATATCCCTTTTTGTTTTTAAATAAATCAACTGAACTGGATCAACATAATTTTGGCGTTCTAGCCAATTCATTGCAATATCTAACAAATTGCATACTTCTGTATGAGAAGGTCCACTATCTTGAACTTGATCGCCTACGTCTTCCTCTTCGTTTGTGGAGTTCCGATTTTCATTTAAAATTTCAGCAATAATTTCATCATCATTTGAAATTCCCGGACGTTTTCAGTGTCTCGACACCAGTCTTCTATTTCTTCTTCTGCACAACCTGGCATCTTTTCATCCAAAAGATCTACTGGTTCAGAAATTTAGAAAAATTGTTGATAAGTTAAAAAATATTCTAAACTTTAAAAAAAAATTCAGACATAGTTCGGATAATTGGACGTTCGAATAATAAGGGTTCGGATAATCGGCGCTCTACTGTATTAAAACTGTTGAATGATTTTTATTATTTTTGTATTACATCAGCCTATTTTCAAACTAAATGTTATTGTAATCTGTCCAGTATTTCTGGAGATAATTATCCAAATTTGAAAATTTTCTAACTTTGAACTTCCATTATTTGTAACATAATTAGAAAAACTTGTGCATCAAAAATCGTAAATTCTTTATAGGATGATGAGTTTATTGCATTTAAGGATATTAGGCCTGCCACTAAACATCACTATCTAGTCATACCAAGGATGCATATGAAAAATGTTTCATCATTAAAGAAGAAAGATATTTTAATAGGTATATTTTTTTTTATCTTATTTTTATTTTAAAAGAATTGTTCTTAACTTAGTTTTTAAATATTGTTTAAATATGGTCATGATAATTTTTGTATTACTGGCAGTTTTATATTATTTTGATACCAATTTAAACTTCGTTATCCTGCTTCTTAAATATGAAAAAATTACTTAACTAAAATGGAAATGAAAAAATAAATATTTGCTTTTTTTGTTCATTTTTTTTTATTTAAGCCTTTTTTTTAAGGAATTTTCATATGAGAAAATGCTTTTTTACCAAAATATGTGCTATTTTAATAGCTGTTGTGAGTTTGAAATAGTTATTCATTATTATTGAATAAGTTTTACCCATCTTTAACCTCTTTATGCTGATTATGAAATAGCTCAAAATATAAATGTGTAAAAAGCCGCAGTTTTATGAAAATGTAAAGTATTTGTAATCTAATTTTTGTGCCATTAATTTTCATTTTGTCTAAACAGTGTAACAAATATTTAAAAGTTTATCCTGTGTGAGTATGTCTTTAGCACTAGTTTCTAGCATTTCTTTACAATAATGTCACCCTTAGAAATATTAAATTTTCAAACACATCACCAAAATAATTAACTTATAAACTAGGATTTTAATTATTTTCGTTAACAACTAATTGGATATTTCTTTTTTTAGAGTTTTTTTTTTGTCAAAAAAGTAGCTTTAAAGGAAAGAAGAAATACTGTCACTTTCATGGTTCTTAAAATTTTCAAAAATCATTCTTACCACCGTGAAAAATAAGGTTTCAAACAATATAAAATAAAAATTGTAGCTTATGAAAAAAAGTTCGATCTAGGTAAAAGTAATAATAATAAAAACACACCTTTTTTTAAGTTAAGGCAAACTTCAGTTTATATCTTTGCAATGGTGATTATCAAGAAGTATCTTATATAAGGGTATGTTTTATATTATAGTTAAGAAGATGGTAGAAATTGGTCAAAGTATTTTAGAAAAAGAATCTGCAAGTATTGAAAATGTTAGGTAATATTTTTTATAGTTTTTCTAGTGAATGATGAAATCTTATTTTTGCACCAAATCTTAAAATTTTCTTAGATTAAGATTCTTTTCCCCAAGTCTCAGATGCCCAATTTTTGAAAGAGATAAAATATACACAATACTTTGTGAACCTCGTAAATGAAACAAATAATAAAAAATAACCAATTCTATCTGCTAATTTTTTTAAATTTCTTTATTTGTTTTTAACTTAACTGAATTTAAATCTATGATTATTTATGAAATTTTTTTTATCAGAATTATTATGGTAGGCTAAGATTTATAGTTATTAAGGAGGCATATACCTAACAACTGCATCTTTGATTTATATTTTGACATTTGAAGAGCTAACTTAATTTCTATAAAAAGATTTGGAATTAAAATTCACAAATTACTTGAATTTTGTATCCTTAAATTATAAGCTATTTAACTACTTTTTTAACACTATTAAATATTAAAAATAAATGAAGTTATAAAACAAATAAAGATTAGGTTAGGTTTTTATTAGTCTGAAATATTAGAAGAAACTTATAGAGATTTATAATTATTAAGAAAGGCATATAACTGCCAACAGAATGCATGATATACATTTGGGCATTTAAAGAGGTATCTTAATTTTTCTAATCTTTTAAAATTTTCTCAAAATTAGCCTAATTTTACACCCTTATCTAAATTATAAATTATTTAACTACTTTCTTATACTGTTAAATTAATTTTTTTAAATAAAGTTATAAAGTAGATAATATTTAAGTATGTGTGCCATTAAGTTGAATTCTTACACCATCTTTATGTAGTGAACCTTTATGTTTTTGGTATGAATAGATTTTTGAAAGAAAAACAATTCTACTGAGAAAAATGTAGTATGTGATTTTGAGACAAGATATGCATAATATCCCTCAACCATAATATACAAAACAATTTATATCATCCAAACATTATCTAAATGATCAATTCTTTTTCTTCTGTTTAAATTAAGTTATTCAATGATGCTTAATTTTATATATTCCCATGATAGGAGAGTGCCTTTATGAAATAAGTGATAGTACATTTGTGTCTAAATAAAGTATAAGTTTCCTTTTGTTAGCTCCATTTCAAAAAATGTAGCCAGATGATTTCAAATCTAAATTAAGTTTTTATTGGATATGTTAAGATGGTCAATTTTGACATTAAAAACAAGCTTGTATTTACGAAAAGGGAGTAGGAGTTCATAGACAGCTATAAATGTTAACTCTTTTTGAAAAAAGTTTAGTAGTAGTAACACATTCAGAAAATCTTTCTGGTTTTTAAAATTGATAGTTTTGATTTCTATAAATTTTCAATACGATTATTTAAAGGGGGAAGCTTCTTTTCAGTTTTTGAATAATATTTATAAATTAATAATTATTGTACACTTCTACAATTTTTATTTTCATTACGATGGATTTTTCTGAGGTTAGCCTTTAATAAGCTTAATTATGTCAATTAATTTGTGCAAATGATGTTTTAAAATATATCGGATACAAAAAGGCACTTTTCTTAATAATCACACTTTTTTTCAGTGCATTTAGATTTCTATCCCTCAAAATGTGGATGTAGCCGTTATTCTGTAAAGACTACAATTGGATACACTCTGTCTATATTGTTTTCTGCCTGTTTTAAGGGGCAGAGAAATCTCTGGTTGTGGCCATTTTGTATTAAATTATGTGACCAGATGTATTGGTTAATAATTCTTTTTAGAAGTAACAGTTTCCTTCAAGTTTATTCTCATTATTGTTCGTTTTAGGTTTGGTTTTCATTTGCCACCTTTCAATAGTATTGCTCACTTGCATTTACATGTTATATCTTCTGTAGATGAAATGGGTTTTTTAAGTAGACTAATATTCAGACCTGATTCTTATTGGTTCATGACAGTAAGTACTCTTTTATTAATCAACTAATTATGAGAATTTAGGTTTTATAAAATTCAAGAACATTTATGTCAAACAAATCAAAATTTGAATAAAGGAAAACACGATAAAATAAGTAATGTTTTGCTATGAATGCAATTCTCAATGGAAAGTAATTTTAATTATGATCCCCCATACAAAGAAACGTTAACTATGAAATTATAATATGTTATAACACAGAGCAACTGTAAATAACATAGCTTTTACATTTGTATAGTATTGAAACAAATAATATTGAAACAACAATTTTATCAAAACAACAGCTCCCAATTAGTTAAAAAAGAGTTTTTTTAAATAAAAAAAGTTTTTTTTTTTAATAAAACATGTTTTCAACTAAATTTTAGAAAATTACTAAATATATTTTTTACATTTTCTATTTAAATGCTCCATTTACGTGTGCCAGAATCCCATTTTCATATTTAAGCAAAAATGACTCTCAGCTTAAAGGATCGTTCTAACCACATCAATATCATCCATTCATTCTTGCATACACAAGCAATTTCTTTTACATGCAGTTTCTTAAAATTAACAAGTACATCAAAGGAAATTAGGCGCAGTAACATTAAATACAGAAACGTAAATGTGCAATTTTATGTTACATTTTTCTAGTTTGGGTAGATTTTCTATTTAGGGTTTTTATGATAATTCTTTTTTTGCCCATTGTTTACTAAGTAACTTACACACTTAGTTCTTGTCACATTTTTGTAGCAGGCAAGGTGACTTCTGATATAAAATGGCTATTGGGTCAAAACACAGATTTTTATGAATTTTTTTTGTGAAAATGTACATGCTGAAAAAGACTTAATTAATTATCTCAATTTTTTTTAAACCTAAATTGTGATGATGAGGGAATTTATGAGATATGACTCAATTTAACAAAATAAAAAATAATTCTCATTATGTACTTGTTCACAAAAAAATTTCATAAAAGTCTGGCACAGCAGCAATCAGGTTTTTTAAAAAAAAATTTTTTTGACACGCTCCATTTGAAATGGAGTGTGGCAACTTGATTTATTTAATAGTATTAAACAATTTCATTACTGAAACTTAATTATTATGCTGACTCATCTTTATTATGAATTCAACAGGGAAAATCTTTCTTTTGTATGGGATCCTGATCTGATCAGGCAAAAACTAGGCCTGGTATGAAATGCGTTGTAATCAGTAAATGTAGCTAGTGAAATCTTATGATTTTTTTCAAGCTTCAAAGTGATTTCTGGACAACTGACTGTTTTTTTTGTGATGGAATATTCATTCCTTAAACTTGCATCTTTTAGAGATTATTAAATTGTAAAGAAAATGTCTATCATAAAGCACAAGCTAAGTATGTTTTAAAATTGTACATTAACTGGAAATTTTCCCAATGTTTAAAAAAATTGAGAATTTTATTGCAAATTATCCAATGATTATAATTTGTTTAATAAATTTGTATTTTTTTTATAAGCTTTATTTGTTTCCATCATATTTTACTATTCATTACATTTAGGGCTGATTGTGCTCCGGAAAAAATCCGGATTTCCGGAATTTTTGCTAACAGTGATCCGGAAGTTACCGGAGAACAAAGGTTCAGGCTTTTCAAAAAATCATTGATCACAGAAGTTTCCGGAAATCAAATTTTCAAAGGTGGAACTTAAAAACACAGTTTATTTTATTTGTTTGTCAGGGAGAGCCTGAGAGATACTTTATAAGTTTATATTCATGATTAATATTCACTTTTATATCAGTAAATAGTTGTTATAATCATAAACTCAAGAAAGAAAGACATATTTGTAAATTTTAATTACTTCTCCAGGTCATCATAGGTATGTGTAAATGGTATTGGTATGTGTAAAATTTTAAATATATTTTAAGTAAACTAAGAAATATTGAGAAAAAGGAAAAAAAACCTTGTTTAAATGTTTTTCAATTTAAACCTTTTTTTTTAATTAACTCAAGAAATTTTCCGGAATTTTGACTTTGGCTCACAATCACCCCTGTACATTACATAAATGCAATTTCTTTTAATTAAGAGCAATTTAATGTAGTTTTTTCTATTCTAAATTGCTTTGGATCGTCCGTGTTTTCGCTTTCCTGGTGCATTAGCTTTTTAATCAGTAGTATGCTTCATAGCGCTTTTTTTAAAAAAATTTCCTGAAATTGAAAATTTTAAATAGTTTTTTTTAAAATTTTAATATCTACTTGAATTATACTAAAATTGTTTTGAATATTACATTTATGAAAGGTATCCTCAATGGCAGTTGATGACAGTTCAAACTAGAGGATCACCCAAATTGTTCAATAAACATGCTTAACAAGTATAGTTTGTCTAAAATAAGAACACCTTCCGACATTCGTCTGGACTTGTGGCGGACCATGGTAACGAGGTATGACTATTTCAAGTAGGGGTGCAGGGTCACTGTTTTGGAGTGGTTTCGGCTTAGGTCGGCGAGGGAAAGGGAATCTCTTTCTTCGGTCGTGTGATAGTCCTAGAGTGAAGCTACCCTCCCTGAAATACGGCATTCTTGTTTCTATAGCAACAGATGGCCTCAGACTTTCTGGTGGGAGGAGATCTATACCTATAATTTACTGTTTTAGATAAAATGAAATTTTTATTTTACTGATTTAAGTTCTATGTGTGTAAGTTAAAAATCAATGATGTAGCAGTAATATATCTAAGTAATATATTGTGTTTAACTGTTGAAAAACTTAGAATAATTATTTTGTGGGAATATGTGTTTTGTAAAGAGAATGAAGTTTCATAAAAATTTAATCAGATTTTTAAATTGTCTCTGAATTCTTCTAACTTTTTTTTTTTTTTTGCAGGATATTTTCTTTTCTTTAAAATAAAACTTTTTTTAGGGGATCTGTCAATTTTATATAAATTATTGTATATTTCAATTTCAGGCTAATACTTTGTTGGAACGTTTAGAAAAGATGGATGAACAATGATGACAGTTCATTGGATGAGGGAATGTTTTGATAATACATGTATTTTTTTCCTTTAAGAGTTGTGTTCCTATTTATTAAATATATTTTTTACTATATCTCTGAACATTAATTATCAATAAAAGAATTGACCTATAGTTTAATCATGAATTTAAAAAAAAAATTATTATAACTATTACTTATGAAAAATTGAAAATTCAAAGTAGATATTTTTAAAACACTAAGTCTTTGGAAAACATTTTATACAGCATTTTTTACACTGTCCCAAATGTAAATATTCTAAAGTAAATATCAAAAATCTTTTTTGATATTTATTTACTGCAATTGTCAAATGATGAATTTTCGTCATGTGACTGGATATATGTTAAGAATGACCTTAAGAAAGATCACTTTCAAGAACAAACACCCTTTTTAGAACCAAGTATTTTTTTTTATTAGTTTATAAAAAAAAAGTTAAATAAATGAAGTTTGAAACAGTTTCAATTTAAGCTTCATTATTTTTTATCACAATTCTTCCCTAACATAACATTTTCCAATATAGATTTTAAACACAATTTGTTTTTTAATTTGCTAAATTATTTCATTAAAAGTTTTTGTCTTAATTTATCTTTATCATTTTCAAATCACATATATTCTTTTTAAATATAAATTTCTATCATTTAAAAATGGTTTAATGTAGTATTTTTTCTATTATACAGCAAACTTCAGATTATCTGCAGAATTAAGTAGTTAAACAAATGTGAGTAAAAAAATTTTGTGGATAATCTGCAGAGAATGTTTGAAAATATCACTTGTTGTGTTCGAACATTTCTATTTGTAAGAGCTGCTCAGGGGCCCCACTTTACTGCTGGCAGTAAAGATTTCTATCCTATAAAAATAAAATTTCAGATTTAAACAAAATCTTAATTCTGCAAAAAAAAAAAAAAAAAAAATTTTTTTTTTTATTTTNGACATTCAAAAAAAAAAAAAAAACTTTTTTTTTTGTTCTCAATTCTAAAATTAAGAAAACTGAGATGTCCATATTCTACCTGATTAGTTTCAGAATTTTTAGAACTCTTGAAAAATTTCAGAACAAAAACTTTATTAAATAATTTCACAAATGTGAAATTTTATAATGGTTAATTGAGGTGTCATTCACTTATGTACTTTGAAATGCTGTTATAAATCAAATCTTTTATGATAGAGATTTGTTGTATTAATGTTTTTGGTTATTTTTGTATACACTTATTAATTCTTTATATCTTCTGACAATTCTCAATATTCATAGAACTTGAATGGTGAATTGAGCTATAGTTCAATAATTTATGTCTTCATAATAATGTTAGGCTGCTTTAGAAATAATTTTAAATGCTTCTTTGATTTAAAAAAAATTAATTTCTGATTAAAAGCTATTAGATCCAGTTTCAATATTAATTGAATATTATTTCTTCGATTGGTGACAATTGAATCCAATTAAAAACAAATGGCAATTATTAAAACTTTTTTTTTAACCCTTCACTGACAACCCTTTCTGCAAAGCTTAGTTCAAATTTTATTTTCTCTGCTGTTTTCTATAATTTAACATTGAAAAGAGTTTGTCTTAGTAAGAGAAAATAATTGACCATCAGTCTGTGCTAGTTTCAATGCTGAAGCACATACTGTTTTCTTGAGTGTAGCTTAGTTAGTTTTCCATCTACAGCAATTTTGGTAAGAGGGATAATTGCTGTTCTGAATCTGTTTTTATAATTGCAATTAGAAGCTTCAGTTATTTGCTCAATGCTGCACATGAAAGTACATAATAAAGGCATTTCATTAAACTTTTATTATGTATTTTGTTTTAGTAATTTTTGAAAACTAAAAAAAAAAAAATTCAAATTTGGATGTTTATGACCAAACTCAGTACAGCATTTTTTTAAAACATTGGAACATTTTTGTAGAACAGTGTAGGCATACCAAAAAGAGAAACAAAAAAGTATAAATTTTTAATTTCCGAATTACTTCGTTTAGAACGGAAAGTTTTCTATATGATTTTATCAACGTAACCTTGAACAACTCATAACGGTTTGAGATTAATTTAGAAAATTTGCATTGTATTGTTGCTGAGAAAAAAAATTTAGTATAAAATTAGTTAATATTTCCTCATACCAATATAAAAATTGTAATAAAATTCATTCAAATGATTTTAAAGTAGGGTTTAAAAATATCAAAGCAAAAAGAGAATATTCCAATTCACATTTTTGTGCAAAAGTAATTTAATGGATAATTAAATATTTTTAAAATCAAAAAAGATGAAACACTGTGAAATTACAAAACTAAACTTTACAATATTTGATAATGCATTTGATGAAAATATTAAATAATTGTGTAACCCCTTAATTTGCCACCATAAAACTTAAAAGTAAAAAGGTTTTTTTTTTTTTATCCTAAAATTCCTTGAGTTTTCCAAAAGTTTGAAACAGTGAATCCTGCAGGTAAGGTAAAATATGCCTGAACCATGTATATAATTAATGGTCTATCAAATTTTTTGATTTTTAATTAAAATAAAAAGATGTTGGATTGAAAATTTAAATCTTTTAATTGTTCAAGTCTGTACTTGTATTTATAGAAAATGGGATGTTTTGAACACACACAAAATAAGGACTATCAGGACCAAGAACAACTAATGACAAAAGATTTTTTATCAGGAATATATCTGCAGTACATTTTCATACTTTCTGAAAGTAATAAAAAATGACTTTGTTGTTGTCACTGGTGCCGGAACCATAGGGGTCCGGACTCCCCCAATAATTGGGAAGCCAGGCTCCATTACTTTGAGAAAATATTTCTGTTTTGTTTCCATAACTTTCACTCTCTTTTTTTTACATAGTGCAACTTATTATATTATACAATTTAAGGAAAATTAGTAAAAACTAAAATACATAAAAAAATGCACTGTATAAAGAAAATAAAACAGGTGTTTAGAGAATTACTAGAATTGTCACTGTCACCCTTTCCTTCAATAAGCAATAAAACGCTCTTTACTCCATTCCTTTTCTTCAGGCTGTTAACTGATAAAGATTGATTCTGAAACACCTACGTTGTTATACGATACCTCAAAAATAGCCGCCTTAGTTTACGCTTAAGGGGAAATGGCCTTTGCATTTTGAAATTGTCTCTATGGTATTTATTGCCCTGGGCTCAACAGACCCATCACTTTCTTGGCTATCTATTCAAAAATTGTCTCAAATAGGCAATTATCTTTCTTGGAAAACAGATGTATAAAAGCTTGGGATTCAAGTAGGGGGAAGCCTCTTGCTTTTTTTTTTTTTTGGTGATTTTCTCAAGAGAATTTCTCATATATATATTATCATTCTAAATCATCTCATATACAAAGCTCTTACAGTTCTATTGCTCAATTACTTAAATTAGCCACTTATTTAGCTTATCTTTACTTAAATTATCCAATATTTGTTTACTTTTACATTTTGTTTCGTTAATTGTTTTAACTTAAATTATTAGTTTCTTTTATAAAATTTATCGTTGTTAACCAACGAAGTCATTAAGTAAATCCATTTCTGAGGAGGTAAGCAAATGTTTGTATTAAATCACTTAATACATTTATAATTGTATGTTTATGTACTGTAAGAATTATATTAATTGTTTTATAGTTTGTATACTATATTTATTTATGTATTACATTAGTTCATTGTTTGTGCATGAATTAATTTTTAAAATTATAAATCAAAACTTAGAATTTTTATGACCTTTCCATAAATTTGTTTTTATTCAGAAATTTAATATCAGGTTTACGATTATAAATTTACATGTAACTTAATAAACAAATTTATATAAATATTGATTATTTATGCCATAATACAAAAAATTAATATCAGCTTACATTTTAATTAGTTAAAAGAATGAAAATATATTTTTAATGTAGAAATTTCATAAAAAAAAAATTCATGTGAATTTATTATGGTCAGTAATAAAAACGAATAATTTCTTTCTTTTCTTTTTTAAAGAATGGGATAATTTGTTAAACCTAATTTATTGTATGAGTGTTTTAAGTGTACTTTAATTTTTATTTATTATTATTTTTTTAAAAATAATGTGGGATTTTTAAAGTAATTGTTTTTTGCTAATTAAAAATTTTATAATTTGGCATTTTTAACTAATATTTTTTTCTGAATTAAAAGTATTTATTTTTTAGAACTTCAATATTGAAATTATAAATACTGCTGATAAAGGGAAAAAAATGTGAGTTCTATGTATTGTCTTCTTTATTTCTTTGTGTAAATTTACGTAAAGTTTTTATGGTTCCCAAAATGAACCCGGTGATCTACAAAAACCGAAATATCTCATCTTATCTGATTCTTTTCTTGTAAATAAAAAGATACATATACTAAATAAAATATGCATTAAAATTATTCCGACCACAATTATTCTAATAGATCATTTCTTAAAAATATGAATACTAATTCTGTCAATCAACAGAATAATTTTAGTTTCCTTTTCAAACACAACATTTTCGATTTTTAAAACCATATCAGTTAAACCGGAACAGGATGAGAAAAACGCTAAACTTAAAACTGCTTTAACAGTCTTGAATTTTCCACCTTTTTCGTTGCAATTTATAGAGTTTTATAAATTTATTTAATTTAATCAATATAATCTCTATTGTAACCAATGTTTAAGATAGTTCTTTCAGTATTACTTTTAATGTTGTTTCTTTCATCTCAGTCCAGATTAAATCAAATCCATTGTAAAAAAAAGTGTGTGTGTGTTTGTTTTTTTATCGAAACGTTTTATGAATTTAATCTAATATTTCTTTAAAAGTTCGACTACTATTTAAAATAATAAAATATGTCCCAAAAAATTTATCTCATTCGTGATTCTGTTATCACATAGGATTACATGGCAAAATATTATGCTTTTATAAATCTTATGTCATTCTCATCAAAAATTTTAACAGACAAAATGTTCTTTTCAAAATAAAACTATATTTCTAAGACACTGTACCTATTGAATTTAAGTAACTTTACTTTTACTTCAATTTATTTAAAGAAATAAATTCTGCTTATTTTTCTATTGGGACATTTGAAAAGGAGGACATACGTGATACATTAAAATGAAATGTGTTACATGATACTTCATATGTTTTAATGTTTACAAAGTTTTAATTTTTTTAAAATTATTTATCATATAATATTGTTATAAATACTGTATCAATCAACAGTCTCTCAGGGACTAAATCTTTTAATAATTTAAAAAATATCAAAATTTTTTTTAGGTATTTTAATTTAATGATTCAATAAAGAATTCTTAAAACAATACCTAGTCGAAAAAGCATTGTTTGTATATTATTGCACCGCCATACTATAAGTGTGCTTTATAGAACTTAAAAACAATTTTAAAACTACTTAATCCTTTACTACACATTTTGCATGTCTGTAAAGCTACAATTTGAATTGAATTATATATATACATAGTCCCCAGTGCTATTCTTCTGTCTTTAAAAATTGCATAATGGAGATGCTAAGTGTATAATTTTAATTTTTGCACAATTATAATTTGAATAAAAATTGTGGCCAGAGAAAAAAATGTGAAAAATAAAAAGGATTTAAATATTATCGTATAATTAATTTTAAAATTGTTAAGATGTAACGCAACAAACAGGATTTGTAATTCTATAATTATCAGAAAAAAGTGGTACGGTACAAAATTAGTATTTCATTTGATGTCAATGTAAAAAATATAAAAAAATTGAGAAGCTTGTGTAAGAATCATTTTTCTGAATTACTTTTAATATTTTAGTTTTCATTGCAGAAACTATGTAAACGTTTGACGTTTCAGACAAAATAAGGTGTTGGTTTTATACCATTGTAATCTCGTTTTTCATCACACGAGGACGTGGTTTCTTCTCGCAGCATCCTTTCTTACCATTATTGTCTTTCAACTTGAACTACCTATCTTTATCATCGCAATAGCCCGAATATTTATTGAAGAAAAAGATCTATCTGTTTTTCATGATCAATTAACCTCTGGCAATTTTCACAAAAAGCACTAAAACTTTGAAAAAATACACAGCAAAAATGCATGGCAAAATTACAAATAGAAGTGTTTTTACAATCTTCGTAGTTGTCATAGTATTCTTTTTTTAACTTCTAAAAGCTACTAGATTTCAAAGTTTTTACTCAGGGTCTCAGGCCAAAATACTAATTGTGAGCATAAATTTTTTTCTGAAAACTATTTAATTATAAATCTTGTTTGACGAGTTATTTCTTAATAATATACTTTAAGAACTAAATAAAATGAATTTAAATTGTATTTTTTGATTTTCTTATATGTTTTCTCTTGTCTGAAAGTTTTTACTCAGTCGGTACTTCATGTTCTATTTTATTAGAGATACTGCAATTGATTTGAAATTCTCTGCTCACTTAATAGTACTCTTTAATAGAATTGTGTATAGGATGTTCCGAAAAAACTATTAGATAAATTTCTTGAGTTCTTGTCACAAATGAAGTGGGAAAAAAAACGATCCCAAATTAATACTGAAGTTGGGAAAAAGAAAATCAAAACATGATCAATCATCAATTGAGAAGATGAGATTAGAAATGTATGTGTAGTTGCTGAAAAAACATAGAGGAATTGAAAGACACTCTAAACTTAATTCGGCAATCAAAGCTTTGATTCCGTATGTCTTAATAGTGATTCTTAAGATTTTCATATTGTTTTTTCTCGCTCTTAAATGATAGTTTGCGATCCCTAATTTGTATATATTTTTTAAACTGCATTCTTAAAGATGATTCCAAAATTATATATAAGGACATACAGTACGGAACACTCAACATCATAGAATCAAGATGTTTCAGTTTTCATAATTATGCTTTGCATTGAATTTCAGTAATTGTAGTAAAAGATCTTGATGGGATTGTGAAACATAATATTTTCCTGTTTTATCTACATTAAGAAAAAGTTACTTTTATCAATTTATATATATATAGCATAATAAATACAAAAAACACGAAGAAAATTAAGAAAACTTATTGATACAATATTAGAAAGCACTCTTTTTTGTGGATATAATTGTGTGAGCTGAGGAAAAGACTATCTTTTATTTTTCCGGATTTTTTTAAAAATTTTTGTCCTTTTCTTTCCAGATTTTTTTTTCTTCCAATTTCTTATTATTTTTCATTGTTCTGTAATTTCTCCCTTGTTTTCTCTACATTTTGAACGTATATATATATATATACATATATGAACTAAAAATAAAAGTCTAAGTATGGTCCCCCACAAGAAATTTTATCTGACGACGCCAATGGTTGTTGTCAAAACCTGTATTTTTATTACAAAACAAGTATGATTTTATTAGGCAAAATTTTTGAGCCCCTTTTTCTCAGATCATATATGGTATGTAAAAAACTGGAGCGCAATGGCATTTTCAGTTCAAATGAAACAATCACACAAAGTTGAAAGTTTTATGAAGTAGTCGTAGATTGTCACTGGCACTTTTCATGTCTGGTTTTATTTCAAGAGCTCTTTTGTAAGACTTCTCTGCAAGATGATATTTTTTCCAACGATGGTAAAGTACACCTTAAAAAGAATTACATCATCAATACAAGCCAAAAAGTCTTGCACACTCGATTGATTCAAAAAAGCAAGTTGAAAATAATTTACAAATTTTATAAAAATGTACATTCTTTTTTCTTCAAAAAAAAAAAAAAAAAACTAACTAATGATCCAATAATATAACTTTAGTGTGAGAGTAGTCTAGAGATTGATTTGGCATAACTATATAAAAAACGTTAACAATTTAGTTATTTCCTAACTTGCAACTCATTTTCTCACAAATAAGGCTTTAAAAAGATATATTAAATTTTGTGGAAGTTTAATAAAATAGCTTCTATTGTTTTGAGTCTCTTTATAAATTTCAGGGTTGACATTTTGATAAGTAACTAAAACAAACAAAAATGGATATTCTTTCATTACTGTTTTTTTTTTTTTTTTTTTTTTTTTTTTTTTNTTTTTTTTTTTTTTTTTTTTTTTTTTTTCTTCACAGATTTAGATTCAGCATTTTCAACAAAATAGGTAACTGTTATTCTGAGAAAAAAACACAAATAGTTTTGTCAGGATTTATTATTTTTAATGGTTAATACTTATATCTATGTTAAAAGGAAATCGGATGTTGACAAAACAGTCACCCTTTAAATATACTCTTTTTGTAGTGACTTTAGAAAAAAGAATCATTTAGGACACCAGATTTTTGCCTACATTAAAATGTTTTTCTGATTTTGGAATTTAATTTATAAAAACATTAACATTTAAATTTTACAAAATAAAATTTGCTTCTTTTAATTTCAACTTATCATATTTTTTGGCATATTCATATATTCATTAGTGCCATTTTTGGATGCGAAGAAAAAATGACAGCTTATAATCTGAGCTGACATATTGTTCTGTGCTACAAGGGTAAAGTAGGAATAGGTGATAAATTAATCTGCATTTAAAAACGAAACATTTAATAAAAAGATTATGAGCATTTAATAATGAATAGGAAGTAATATATGTTAAAAAAAATTACAAACAATTTTATATTAACTTATTTTTATGAAAAAATACATAATTATACAATAAACATTAAAAAATCCTTTACTAAAATCCTTCAGACTTAAATAATTCAATGTATTTAGATCCAATTTTAAGTTAACATTATCAATTTTGTCATTTTCATTGTCAGAATCTGTTAAAAAAGTCAATATTTGTATTTATGGATTCATTTTTCATACAAAGAGGCAACGTCTCAGCTTTGGATCAATTGGATATTCGGATCAATACTTAGAATAGATTTTATTTTTTAGTTCTGTGTCAATTTAGAAATAAATTATTTTTAAAGAAAGTATAAATGAGGAGAAAAGAGTAAATAATATAGCATACTATCGGGTTGTTTGGAAAGTAATTTCGTTTTTCTGACGAAGGATTTAATTGTATTTTTTCGACTCCAACTTTACACTTAAGCCGCATTATCATTATATGTTTTGAGAGCTGATATAGCGAGGCTTGTGTGTGAAAAAGTTCAATTAATTCTACGCAGTAGTTTTTGGTTGGTGCCCTTTTAAATATGGAGAGCAATAAGCAGCATTTTCGACATATTTTACTTTTTTACTATAAAAAAGGTAAAAATGCTGTTCATGCCAGAAAGAAGTTAACCGATGCGTATGGAGAAAATGTGTTGACAGTACGCCAGTGCCAGAACTGGTTTGCAAAATTTCGATCCAGCAATTTTGATGTAGAAGATGCACCACGTTCTGGAAGGCTGGTTGAAGCTGATAAAGGCATTAGTTGATGCAAATTGGCGAATAACAACACGTGGGATCGGTGAGAGGTTAAATTTATCGAATTCAACTGTTTATGACCACTTGAAAGGCCAGGGTTCAACCTCGACGCTCGATATATGGATTCCCCATGTTCTCACGGAGAGAAATTTGTGTTGTCGCATTGACGTCTGTGATTCGCTTCTCAAATGTAAGCGCATCATTACTAGGGACGAAAAATTGGTTGTCTATAACAATGTCAAACTCAAGAGATCATGGAGCAAAAGAGATTAACTAGCTCAAAGCATTTCGAAAGCCAATATCCATCAAAAAAAGGTAATGCTGTCTGTTTGGTGGGATCTTAAAAGAATAGTTTTTTTTTTTTTTAGCTTTTACCGGATAACAAAACAATTTATTAGGAAGTCTACTGTCGTCAGCTGGACAAACTGAATGATGCACTTCAACAGAAAAGTCCAGATTTAATCAACAGAAAAGGTATACGGCTCCACCAAGAAAATGCGAGACCTCATACAAGTTTGGTCACTTGACAAAAGCTTTTACAGCTTGAATGGGATACACTGCCACACCCACCAATTCTCCAGGTCTGGCGTCTTCGGATTATTATTTGTTCCGGTGACTGCAAAATTTTTTGGACTGTAAAACCTTTACTTCAAATGAAGTCAGAAATCACCTGGATCAGTTTTTTGCCAGTGAAGACCAAACATTTTATGAACGTGGAATCCTGCTACTGCCAGAAAGATGGCAAAAGGTGTTGGACCAGAATGGCCAATATATAATTTAATAAAATATATTTATTTATTATACGAAAATTATCTTTCATTTCCCCCGAAAAAAAACGAAATTACTTTCCGAACAACCCAATAGTTAATTCTTAAGTTACAAATTGGAATTTGTAATCCCATTTGTAGATGACATCATACGGTTTTTGTCAATTGACCCCATATTTTAATAAAAATTATATATATTTCATCACCCCATATTTTAATTTAAAAAAAAAAAACAAAAACGTTTTCAGAGCAAACATTACGGAATTGGTTCGTAAAATTTTCTGTAAAAATCTGATTTTAAATAAATCCACTGTGATCGCAAAATTATCACGCGTGGCTTGAGGTACAGTAATTTTTGGTAAATAGGCAGCGGCCTATAAGTGTTTAAAAGTTTGGCTGTCGCGATGCGCGGCCTTTCGCCGATGCGGCCTATACATAGAATTTGTTTATCCACACGTGAGAATTTTTTGATCATGGTGGATTTATTCAAAAACAGATGTTTACCGAAAATTTTACGAAATAACGAACCTAATTAGTAATGTTTACTCTGAAAAAGTTTTTCTTTCTTATTATTTTAAATGAATTTGCCGAATTTCGGATATCTTTCGGAAATTCCAATATGGCGCCATATATTACGATAATTCAATTAAACCGTTAATTTCCGAAAATTAATTCATTACAATGTATTTAGTTAAGTTTTGATCGTAGATTATGAGGAGGTGAATTTAAAAATGTCCCATCTTAAGAAATTTCATTAATTAAAATAATTATCTATATTATAGAAATAACAATATATATTTTTCATAAGCTAACAACTAATAATGATTAAAAAAAAACAAGCTAACAACTAAATACGATTTTAAAAAAAACTAGCTATCAATTAACAAAAAAAAAAGTTAATAACTAATAAAAAACCAAAACAGATTGATTTACATCGAATAAAAAAAGCCTCAAAAGGGATAGAATTCATTTTGTATCCCACTTGGTAGTTTCAATTTCAAAAGGGTGTGGCTAATTTATGGTCAAACTGGAGGGGGAATTGTGGGGAGAAATGAGTAGAGCACTTGCACAGCTGTCAAGATTGATTCATCAGTTTCTTCCAACTTGCATTTCTTTATTTTGTTCATTGGAAATGCAGATGTTTTTACTTTTCCCTTTGACTTTATTTTAAACTGCTTTAGAAACAGATGTTTCCTTTGATACAGATTTTTTTTCATGTTTTTTTTTTTTTAACTTTTAAAAGATAAAATAAAGTTACTTACTTCAACAGAATAAAATTCAAATAAAAAGAGAATTTTACTGATTTTTTCCCCCTCCTATTAATAAAAATGTCTTCTAAGAAAAAAAGATCAGATTAAGTGCCAAATTTCAGGCAGTGAAGAATCAGATTTCGATGGTTTTGAATAGATATATGCTCAAAAATATTTGAAAAGTCTAAATAAATGCTGATTTATTTTGTGATTAGTTTCTTTTTTATCAGGCACATCCTCAACTTATGATTTTAATTGGTTATACATGTTTCTTCTGTAAGTAAGTATCATTCTCAATTCTTTCTTTTTATGATAAGTATGCATAAAAATGATGATAATATAATGAGTATGCATAAATTTTTTTTATCAATAACTGTTTTCTAAGTATAGAGTTTATGTTTTAAAAATTATTATTTTTTATGTGTATTTTCACGCATGTGATATTTGATGAAAATCGATGATCGATCGAAAAAAGTGCGGCCTATAAGATTAAAATTTAAATTTTTAGTGATGTTTTTTGCGGGTGCGGCCAGTACGGCGGTGTAGCCTATTTACAGAAATTACTGTAAATGAATTCTTCAAATAGGCTGCATAGCGTGAGAATTGAACTTTTAAACACAGACAGACTGCAGCTTAAATACCAGAAATTACTACATATGTAAATTTAAGCTATCTGAAAACTGCTCAGAGTTACACTACTAACTATATTGATAAATAATTTGATTTTCCCCTATTATTTTGAAATCTGCAATGACATTTTCTACAAAATAATAGGTAATTTTAGAAGCCAGGAATTATTTTTTAAGTGTTCATGTACATGTTTGAATAATATTGGTAATTTTTTTAACAGAATCAGAATGTTTGTACCAGTACTTTATAGCAGTGTTTTTACAATATAAAATATAGCCAAAATTACAAATTTCCAATTTTGTTAGGAAAGTTTGTTGAGAACAATTCTGTTTTGGAAAAATCAAAGTAATAATGTTAAAGGAGCTATTGGCAATAGTCTAGGATTAATACTCAATTAAAATCTGAAAACAACACTGCATGCATATACCATGATTTTCAGATCAAATGGCAGATAGTTGTATTAATCATCCAACTGAGCATAGACTTTTCTGGTTTATTAATAAGAGATTCTAGCTTGCATTAAAGTTCAATTTCTATAAAGACTACAAAAATACATTCAATCAATGCTACATTAAACCAAAGCCTTAATCCAGGGAGTTCAACATAAAGCTAAGTAGTTGTAAAACAGAAGAATGTTTCAAAAATTATGAATTCTTGTTTTTATCTCATATTATTAAATTATTGAATGAAACCAATTATAATAATTTTACCAGTAAAATAAATAATGAACAAAAACTAGCTCTTATAACTCATGCATGTGACAGCGCATTACAGAGATTCAGATTTTCAAATTTTATTTTAAACTGAAAATAACTTATTTAAAAAATAAAACTGCATAATTTCAATATTTCTTCTTGTAACAAAAAGTAACTTCAAAAATGTAACGAAAATATTATAAAAAAAGCTCAAAAATAAATTACGCAAGATAAATTTTTATCTCTCCTTCCTAAAAAAAATAGTTAAAAATAAGTAAGGAAAGTAATACTATACCTAAATTTATATGATATGTCGGATTGTTCTCATTTAATTGCAAGGCTTTTAAAAAATACTTTTCAGACTCTGTGTACTTTCCAGCTTTTCCAAGAGTGTTAGCTAAGTTGAAATACAATGATGCTTCGGTTGGCAAATATTGTAAAGCTTCATAAGCAACCATTTCAGCTTTTGATAAGGCCCCTAAAATGGAAAAAGTTTTCTATTTATTTATTGCTTCTTTACATCTAGAAAAAAAAAAGAGATGAAATGGATAATTTTATTTTTAACAGACAGGAAAACATAGAAAACTAGCTATTAACAAATTTATGAGAAAGTATTGCTGCCAGATAATCAGACGCAAATTTAATCTTTCACATTCTACTAGATTTTTTTTTAAGACTAACTTTTAAGTGTGCATTTTTGGGAAGATATTTAACTATTTTGTTCAAGGTTTGTAATATGCCTTATAAAATTATGTAGCTTATAATGTGTAAATATTTATATACCTTATAATTAACATTTCCTATTGATTATAAAGAAATTAAAACTTAAATGAAAAAAAAAATCAAGAAATATAAAGCAATTTCATAATTGTGTTTAAAATTTTTTTAAACCAGAACAATTATCTTATTTTATCATATCTGCTAGTAATAGTGATAATTATATAAGGCAAAATATGGCAGAAAAAATTTATTTATTGATAATTCATTCAAAATAAAAACCTGTTGCATCAAACTTGGAATAAAAAAAGGAACTGAATATTACATGATATTTTCTACTTTTTTTTGTCAGTACAATAGGCATATCAAGAAATTTGAGAAGCAAAGCAAGCACAACCCTTTTTTATTAAACATAAATCTTGTTTTAAATCAGATTTATTAAACTAGATTTAGGAAATTCCGTAAAGAAAAACTAAGAAAAAAAAATCAAACTACAATGAGAAAACTATTTAAATTATTTTGCATCTTTAATAATTTTATTTAAGTTTCATTGACTGAAAATGAGTAAAAAAAATTTTTTTTGATGTTTTTAAGGGTAAGATAAATATTTACCATTAGGATTTAGGGAAAAATTGCTCCTTTTATGCTCACAAAGATATTTTGAATTTCGAACTAAAAAATAATCTGCAGAAATGTAACTAAAACAAAAAAGTGCAGGTTGACTACAGATAATATCTTATCAAAGAATTCACTCCCTATAGAGAACAAAGAAAGGAAATGACTTCTGAAAATTCCAGTTAATTTACTGAGGGGGTTAAATCAGAAGGGGCATTTTTATCCTAAACAATAGATATCGTTACTGTTGTACATTTACGCTAAATCAAATGAAACCAAACCCAAATCAATAGGGCTAATAGTTAAAAAGTAGTAAAAGTTTTCATGAATAAAAAGTACAATTTTGTAATTATTCTATTTACCCGTTTGACATTGACAAATAAAGCATTTTACCTTGAGTATTTTTTAAGTTAAATTGAATCAGATCAAAACAAAGTGAGTAGAATGAAGAATTTAGAAGTTATAAAGTTCTAATGTATAAAAGTAAAATTTTAGACTTATTCCTATTTACACATCAGAAAATTCTATTTATGTTTGCAGCTAAGCTAACCTTTAAACATTACCAGGGATATGGCAGCAGGCTTACATCATTTTATAAGGTTTTGCATACATTTTTAATAAATTAAAATAAAAAATTTTTACAACATTTTAGTTAATTATAAAAAAAAATTCACTTAGTGCCTTTATTCCGATTCACTAGAGGCCATGCCACACATTTTATTGGTTTCTCAAATAGACAAAGAGTAAATTTATGCTTGAAAACCAATGCACTATCCATACTACAACCATCCATTGTAAAAAGATTAAAAAGTGTAGCAATTTGATTCAATAGTTATGTACTAAGACCAGGGATGAAAGCAGCAGAGATACAAAAAAAAAGAAAAATTCAGCAGAATTCAGCACAAGTAGCAATATACATTAAGGATGAGATTAACCATTAATAAATAATATATTCATCACAAAAATAAAGACATAATAAAATAAAACAAAAGATAAACCTTATGAAAGAGATAAAAGGAGTGCTATTACAATTTTGTGAAAGTGAACAATTTCTTTGGTATTACTTAAAGAGATTCAAATAACTTTTTTCATACCAGATTATTTTTTTTAATCATATTTCAAACATGATTTAATAGTTTGGCAGTGAATACCTTGCTTCGTTTTAGTGAATTTCATTAAATTTGAGTTTGCCTGCAGTTCTTTATTTAATTCTTTCAAAACTCCTCCTTTACAATTCTCTATACTATTTTTTGGAAGTTTTAATGGGCTTCTCTTTAAGTGATGCCATAAAAACGGATGTACTAAACACGAAGACTGACTTATGTAAAAGGTATTAAGACTGACTTGAGATAAAGTTTTAAACTAGAAGAATGAAAAGTTTTGCCCAGGAACATATGCTGATAATCCTTTAAATACTGTGCCAATATTTCCAACACAAAAAAACAACAATAATGAAAGGCATTATTCTTCTACAATCTGTTACAAGACATTGGAGAAGAAAGTTGAATTCAGAAAAATAATTTTTGAACATTTATAGGGCATCAAACCATGATAAAATCCTTCGTAGTTTCCTAAGTTATAAAAAATTTTATTGCATATTTAAGGAATAAAAAGGTAGAAATTGGAATTAGGCAAATAAAAGGAGAACTTACAGAGATGGGTTACAACAAAAATTTCTGAAAGAAATGCACACCAAAAAAATTAGCAAAAAAATTTTTCTTAATTTTTTTTCTTCATAATATAAATTTCAAGAATTTTGATGCTTTTTCTGACTGAACTCTTCATAATTCTTGCTATTCATATTAATAGAATCTGTATTTGTTTGTTTCCTCTTTCAATCAGATTATAAACAATATTAATGTGAACAATTCTATAATAGCAGAATATTATCACATATATTTATTTAAACATACGCAGTGAAACCTCACCTCATGGACACTCCTACAAAACAAATGCTTCTCGTTATGAAATTTTTTAAATTTTCTTGCAAATCTTCTATGAATAAACCATTATGTTACCTTTCTATAAATCGGATACTCCTGTAAATGGACACAGACAGTTATCTGTGCAACAAAACATTATTTTCAACTAGACACTTTTTCTAATTTGAAAAAAAAAAATACAGAACTATTTCTGCTTGAAACTCGAAAGAAAAAAAAAGGCATATTACCACCATTTTTGAAGCGTACAAATTTTTGCCTTATTTATAGCTAAAAATATTGTTTATATTGCTTATCTATAACGGAAAATAACTATGCTACTAAAGAATAAATTATTTTCCTATTGTTTTCCTTTATCTTTGCAAAGGAATGAGAAAAAATGAAACTGTTGATGTGATATATTTTGGACTGCAGCATTCTTTGATCTTTTCATCTGGAAGACACAAATTATGAGATTTTAAATGAGGAAATGACAAATTAAATGCTTTCAGTTCTCCTTCCCCACTGAAACTTTCTTCCTTCTTCTAATTGCTTTGATCACTGTAATTAACGCAGCAGGTTTAAAAGAGAACAGAAATCTAGTCATAGAGGCATTCACATAAATCAAATATTAATTCAGACCCTTGACAAATTATCATTGTGAATACAATTCCATAGGACCCTGAGCCATAAGGTCTGGTTTTTTAGGACAAGCGCCTTATCTGGGCGTCAGCGGGATGTCAACTTCCCGCTGACGCCAACAAAATACTGGTTTGTTAGCTCAAGACTTGGTTTCTTAGAACTAGCGTCTTATCTGGGCGTCAGCGGAAAGTTGACATAGAGCTGACGCCAAAAAAATACTTTTTTGTTAGCTCAGCATTAGCAGTCGATCCAACGCAGACATTATCTCTCATTGCGCATGTGTTAATAACGTAAACAAATATTTATTTTGAATTTGTATTGATTTTGTTATTGTCGACCAGTGTTTTAGAGAACAAATAATGACTTTGTCCAAGAAAAAACACATTATAGCTGAGCTAAATGAAGAGTGCTATATTTAATGAAGCTATGTTTAATGTCAAAATCAAAATCTTTGCTGATTTCAATGTGTTGTTGGATGTCCGCCATTGCTTCCGTGGTTAACGTCACGTTGTAATCCAACTGCAGTTGAGTTGGACGGCCATTGTAGTTCAAGATGAGCGTTCGATGACGTATACTATCAAACTCACAAATGGACCAATCAGAGGTTAGCGCTGATTTACAAATGACGGCGTCCTGTCCTAAGAAACCAGGCCTTTAGAAGTTGGTATTGCCACATTCTTTTTTTCTTCTATGCAACACATATGGTTTATCTTCAAGGAGGTATTGCGCAGCTCCCTACCAAGCAATGAGGAGGCGTTAGGGTGTATAAACCAATTTATTGAAACCGAGAGAGAAAAAGAAGAAATTTGAACTCATTTGATGCTTTCTAAAAGAGAGCCAAAAGTAAAAATTTTATGTGATGCTCAAACTTCTATTGAGCTACTGACACAGTTTTATCCATCCAAAATGATAAAAATGTAAAATGATTTGAAAATGTACCATAAAGATATGGTGAAGCGCAGCCACTTAAAACAATTCTATCACATCTTTCTTTTCACCTGGATAAATTTAAGACAAAGGCAAACAAAATATATTTCTATAAAGATTTGTCATTTATTCTCTTAGTACTGTAAGTAATATAATTTTGTTAAGTTTCAATAAATATTACCCAATGTAAATAGTTATTATAGATTATTCAATTATTTTTATATCATTTTAATTATTCTAAAAACAATTTATGGTGTTAGCTTTTGTTGTTAGTGTACCTTTTCAGTAACCTTACAATTCTCAAAAGCAGACAATATTTTCGGTTCCAAGAGTGTCTGACAAACTGAAGTTTCACTGTATTTATATACAATATAGGTCTACAGAACAAACTATTCATTGTTTGGGGACACCCCTATATTTTTTGTTTGAACACCTTGTTACATTATAATTAAGTTAAAAATTTATAAGAACATTTTATATCACTTACCTATACTGTCTAACATTATTATCATATTATTCCAAGCAACTAAATGAGTGGGCTGCATAGCAGTAGCATTTCGCCATGCTCTGTAAGCCTCATCATACTGCTTCTGTTCTAAGTACTAAAGCAAAAGAAATTTACATTCAAACCAACTGAAATAAAAGAAAACTCGGCGCTCCCATTAAAGGAAGTCAACTATGTATTTTTTACTTTTTGCCACACTCTTCTTATTAATAGCTACATTAACATATTTACAACTTACTACAAAAAACAATATTTTCTGAGCTACTCACTGACACGTTCATTTAACAGTGACCTAAGTTCTAATCTAAATAATCCTTTGAGGTAGGTATTCAATTAGCCAAGAATCTATCGTAAATCTAAGAATTTTTATTGATCACGAACTCAAAAGGTATTATAAAGGATATTCACATTCTTTTGATTTTTTTAAAATCTTGATGCTTTAACACATTGTGCATTTCAACAATAACTTTTTCAAAACACTCAATTAGTGATGATTAAATTGTAAATCTTTGTGGTTTTGAAAATCATTTTTTCAGAAATTGCTTTGAATTTTCATGTGGTTTTAACGATCTTCAAGTTTTAATGGGATATTGTGGTAATTTATGTTGTGGAGATTTTATTGAGTTCCATAAATTTGGAAAAGCACACTTGAATAATCACTTTTTAAAATGCTATTAGCCCAATCATATCGCAAATCTGAAAGATTTTGACAGTCGATTTTTGGCCAGTTATAGCAATGGATTTTCACAAGGTTTTTAAAATCTTATTTTTTTAATATACCACATTATTATTCTTTTTATTAACTATCAGATTTATGGCAATTCGCACATTTTGAAACTGAGAACAAAGGTGCCAACTTTCCAAACCAGCTTTCGATAATAAGAAGTACAATAACACAGAAATAAACAGTGGAAATTACAGAATTCAAATTAGCACGATTTTAAGGTGTATACACAGCTTAATAATGTATAGGATGAAAAAAATCACAATAACTTCAACTATTCTCACACAAGAGCTGATTCTATTAAAAAAAACTGGATACCTCCTCAAGAAACAGATTTTTACTGGAATAATACCAAGGTAACCAGAGAAGTGACATAAGTAAGCGAATATCCAATTCTGTATAGGTATGTAATACATTAGAATATTTATGTAACCAAATTCTATAAACCGCAAGTCTGCATAAACCATATTAACTTTACTGGTGTAAACATTAAAAATTGCATTTAAGAAATTTCTGTAACTAAACAAGAACTAATGACTTTTTACATTATTTTTTAAAAATTATTTGTTAACATAAAAGGTTATAAATTCAAAAGCTGAGCAAAACAAAATTGATAAATTTGTTTCTTAGTTCGAATGCTTCAGAAAACTTCAAATTTTTTCTGTAAATAAAAAATTAAAAGCATATTTATGGGGTTTAAATTATTTGTATCTAAAAACTATTTTAATTCTTATTCAGATTAATCTGACTCATACTGAGATAGCAATGTCTAGAAAGTAAGCTGAAAGATATGTGAAATGATCTATATAATGCAAAAATTTATAAAACACAAAGCCTCAAAGTAAGGTAAAACAACGTTTAAGAGCACAAAAAATATATGAAAAGCAGACAGCTGTTTCGGATGCTCAAAGGGCAACCTTCATCAGTGCAACAGAAAACAATAAGAGAACAGAGAAATATATATAGAAAGATGACGTCACAAGAAGGTTTAGAGCAACGGCCAATAGGAGGGAAGGGTGAATGAATGACGACGAATAGGAAGCAAGGAAACAAAAAGGATGGGGGGTTAGTTAGGTTTAATCATAGATTTCCAAACAGGAGAAATATAAGGAACACTTGATAGGTCATTGACCAACAGTTTGGAATTTTTGAAAATATGATAAGACATCTAAGAAAAAATCTAAGAGAAATCTAAATCAAATATTGAAGAACAATTTTGAATGACTTTAGAAGAGGAAAAATTAAAATTATGATTAGAGTCCCAACAATGTTGGGCCATAGATGAGCGTTTAAATTCTTGTTTTTTGACATAAGCTTCATGTTCCTTGACACGGCACTTTAAGGCACGCTTAGTTTGGCCAATATATGAAAGGCCGCATTGGCAATTAATTTGGTATATACCCCAGTTATTTTGACTATCAATGGGCTGTTTGAGATTAGAAAATTTTATCTTATTAATGGGACTGAAAATAATATTAAAATCAAACTTCTTTAGGATATTAGCAACTTGCCGACTTATTTTCGGAAAATAGGGTAAAATGACCAAATTGTTAGAAAGTTCTTTGGAAGGTTTATTGGTAGGCGATTGTTTAAGCACAAAGGTCGCCCTTTTGTGTATTTACAAAGCCTCAAGTTTTAAGATTTTCATTGAAAGATTTTTTGTATTTTGATATAATACATGAATTCATAAAAAAAAGTAACAGTAGTTTATTTTTTATAAGTACTTATAATAAAAAACTACAACATATATACTTGATTATAAAATTAAATTGATTACTAGTCTTGAGTAAAATTACAATTAGCCTTTATTGCCTTTTGAGCATCTTTCATTTGAAACATTTTTACAATATTTACTAATACAATTATTTTCAGCATTTCAGATTTGAGTTTATGTTCTTTTGTTTTTCTATAAAATGCAAAGATTAAGTTTAAGTTCTTAAGAGTTGGGCAAAAATGAGTTTAATTTTTCATCACTAAATTGTAAACTTTTTTTGCTGAAACATTGCATCATTAATTCCAGAAGCTTTAATGAATCTTAAACTTTAATTTAAAAGCATAACAACTCAATGAAAAAGGGCTACTTTAATGATATGAGGTATTAATGGGATCTTCATATTTTTTTTTTAATCTTTAAATATATGTGTGTAACTGTCCTTCTCATTTTAATAGCTGCATGCCAAAAAAGTATGGACAGTGAATCCTATTCATAAACTTTTTGTGTCATTTTTTAACAACTTTTGAAAGCACTTCTAACATTTCTATTTTAATTTTTATTCATGTGTAAACAAAAAAAAAAAATCTTACTATGTAAACAGCAAACCTCACTCAAAAAAAATTAAATAAAGTAATCACAATCGATCTATTGAAGCACTTACTAGCAACCTCTTTTACCCTTTAACTCGATAAGTCTAAAAATAGATTGTTGGAAGGGAGAAAAATGAGATTTCTTTTCTTTTTTAAAAATTTCTTGTTTCTATTAAATCATTATCATTTAATGTTTTTAGAATTATTTACAAAGTAGAAAAAAATTGTTCATAGATTAATTGAAAAGAACAAAATTTCATAACTTATGGTAGTTAAGGGGGAAAAAACTATTTTAATCAGATTATTAGCAAAATTTTCAAAATGTGTAATTCTCAACCGGAAGATAATTTTGACTATAAAACTGTCATAATTACGGATAAATTGTAATATTCATTACCTTTGCTAGAACACTAATTCTGGGCATTAAGCATTTATTCATATAACATAAGAAAAAAAATGAGTTTCATGTACTGTGGTAAAATGACGCCATAGTTCAAAAATGTTTCATGTCCGTGATGTATAAATTTTTTGATCACATAACAGAAGTCTGGTAAAAATAACAAGAAAGCAGAGAGTGAATTTTCATCTCCTAAATTAGTAAATACTATTAGTTTTAAGTTTATTAAAAACAGAGTTTAATATTCAACACACATGGCATTTAAATAAATATCTAGAGGATTTAAAGCAAAATAGCCATTAGTTGTTCATACACATCAGTTTAAAGTTAAAAATAATTTGAAAGTTTTTTTTTTAAATTTTTGAGGGTCTTTGATATATTAATTTATGTAGGAGATAATTTAAGTCATAAAATGAAACAAAAATACACATTTTTTGCTTTTTTTTTTCCGACAAATTCCTCAAAATATAGAGGAATAGGAAAATCTGTAAAATATTTCAATTTCTTAGTCAGAAGAGCATTCATAAATTTTAAATCTGATCTTTAGAACATATTTTCCCTATAATTGGAGCTAATTGCATAGCTGCTGTTTTTTAAATAATATTAAAGAATAAATAGTTGAAACTTTTGTACACTTGTTTAAATTATTTGTAGTGGTAGTAAAAAAATTCAACTTTGTCAAAGAAAGATAAAAATATGAAAGTATATATGTTATCAATTATCTCCCACGATAAACAAGAGATTCAGCAGCTATATATTTATATGATAGACCGTTTTCAATTGTTTCCTACACAAAAATGACTTTGATGAAAAAAATTTTGTAAATAATAATTTTTTATATTTTTAACAATGTAATTCTTAATCAATTGAATTTGTTTCAAGCTATGAAAATTAAATTGTTTAATCAATAATTAACAGTTATTAAAAATTTTTTTGTACACAAAAGCTTAAAGACAAATTTTATAAAAGGGTATTAAACTTATTAGGCACTTCATTATCAATAAGATAAAAAATACAAAACTTAAAAAACAAATTAATGAAAGCTTAATTTTCCAACAAGTCTCCTGACTAAGCTATTGGAACCATATTTCTAGATTGTGGTTACTATCCAATAGTATTTATAGTAATGTCTATTTAAAGAAGTTATATTTTGCATTCCATTTTGTAACGCAAATTATTGTCTTAACCTATTATCATGTACGAGGTGACGCTATCAATTCACTAATATTGCATATTTATGTGTGAAAATCTGATGTTCAAATCTTAAGTTATTCAAGGTGATTTGATGGTTATTTACTAGTGACATAACAGATATAGAGAATATGGCAATACTAACATAACATAAGTGAACCAATTCAGTCATTATGTTTAACTGTTTTTCAAAGTTTTCTGAATTTAAAAGTGGCACTTAAAAAAAAACATAAAAATCATTTGAAAAATAAAGCATTTCCTAAGTGGGAGTTAAACAATCTTAAGATATTTGGTTTGAGATTACCTATTACACAGTGCAAGTTCAATGAAATTGATCCCTTCAATAATGTGGACGAGTAATTTGCAGAAAGGAAAAAAAAAAGTCTTTCAGCTCTCAAAATGTGGTGAATATGGTCATTAATTTTGACACCAAATAAAATTTTTTGCATACAATGCTGAGGAGTATCCTGTTATATGATTTCACACATAAAATACTTTTGTTTAGAACAAAGGGTTATTTTTCCTTTTCATTGACTAGTATCAATATGGTTCTAGCCTCTCTTCTGTAAGCTAGATCTAGAGTTATCTCACTCCAGACAAAAACAAATTTCCTGATATTTTCAGAATCAATTAATAACATTTTTATTTACCATTTAAGTTACCGCAATTTCATTTGTATTTCAAAAATTTACATATACATCAACATAAATTGAGAATATAAATTCCTCAAAAAATTTTAAACTTTAAATAAAAATATTTCTATTCAAAACTGTTTATTATTCCATACTTATAAGTCTTATGATATAAGATGAATTTTTTTTTTTATAAGATCAATTTCATAACTATTATTAATTTTATTATAAGTTTTAGATATGTATTTAATTTGAATAAAAGAGACTCGTTAAACTGAAAGGCAAAATAATACAAATCTTAACTAAAACTCTGAACAATTAATTAAAATAACACTGCTGACAAAAAAGAAATACTATAAATAACGATAAAACGTCTAGACTTCAGTAGCTCAAAGAAGTTCCACACAAATATAGATTGGTAATCAGAACCAAAAAAAGTGCCCTTCCCTACTACCCAGTATAAAAGGTCTTTTATTGGAAATTTCTTTATTAATTTACTTCTAAAAAATAGTTATCTTGATGTTTAGGGTAAAGAATTAATGTTATACCATAAACAAGCAATGAGAGGGGGAAGGAAGAGGATTAATCAATCTGAATTGAAGATTGCTAACAAAAGGGTAGGTGTCTATAAAGTCTGAGTGGGAAGAGAGGGGAAGCGATCCTCTGTTTTTAGTAAACGCCTTCTCCCAGCTGCATGTAGATCAAGGTTGCATTGAATGGTATGTACGCTTGTTGGCAAGAAAAGGGAAAATTTTAAAGTAGGGTAGGGATGGAAGAATTGAATGGAAAAGACAGTAAAAAGGAGTGGGTGTCACTATTAGAGGTGTCCTAAAGGGGGAAAAGAAATGTGAATAGCAAGGGATAGGGGACGTACTGTCTTTATGTTTATTTCAGTTGTGGTTTGCAGTCGGTTTGGGATACTTAGTTATTGGATTTTTTATTTTTCAAGTAAGGTTTAGCTCTTACTTTTATTTTGTATTTGTCTTGTTTTTATTCTACTGTATATGCTTCTGTATTTTAAAGTGTATTTTATATTGCATTCTTCCGTGTTTTATTGTATATTTTACATTCTTTTCCTGGACTTTGGCAAAACTTTGGGGGTACAGAGAAGGCAATTTTGATAGTTTTGTCTTGCTTTCTCGATAGAAAAAGTTTTGCATTTATGACATCTGAAGTTGGTACCCCCTGACGACGTCAGCTTTGGTTGTCATACTTTTCCAATTTTTTTCATTTTCACATTTGTGAATAGCAAGGGGTGGAATTGAATGGAAGAAAGATATGAAGTAAAAGGGAGCGATCCTTTCGAAGAAATCTTCTAAAGGGAGAAGAAAAATTTGAATTGTAAAGGGCTTACAGACGCACTAGGGGTGACTGCATCCAGACATAAACTCCCTGCATTTGTGATTTTAAAAAGAACCAACTGGACACACCCCACCTCATGTGCAGAAAGAGCTAAAAATACTAGACAGGGTTAAGGTTACCTGCTCTGTCACTGAATGGATATCTGGTAACCCTATTTAAAGTTGGCTAGCAAGGTTTTGAAGTCAGATTGAAAATATTCGGAGATTAATTATCTTGGATCAAGCCTCGATTCATAGGATCTTAAGTTTTTCTGAAAAAGTCTGCACATAGATATAGTTTTAATTCTAGCAGGGTGCACAAGCCTTCTGCAGTCAACAGATATTTCATGGATGGAGTCTTTTAAAAGTGCTCCGAGAAGATAATGGGAAAAAACAAAAGACCTTCGCCAGGAATATTAAAAGGCTAACTTGGCAAGATGTGATTAGTTTTGTATCGGCCATTTGGGAGTGTTGTAGTATTTCCAATGCATTAGATGGAAGTGCAGATGGCCCTTTTTCCCCCAAATTAGAAGAAGTTAATGTCAGATCAATATACAATGATATAAGTGATGAACTAATGATGAGTGTGTTGACCTTATTTTGGAACATGACTCTGATATTTCATTTGATGGATTTTCGAATTCTGATCAATGTAAATAAATAAACTTTCTTTGCATGAAATATTTCGGCCTCAGTAATTTTTTTTTTATCACTGCATTTTTATTTTTTCACCTATTTGCAAAGGCTGCAATCGAACCAATATTTAAAATAAAGAATGCTGTGGAAGGTAAGTTAGAGTTACTAATTAAAGCTTATATTTACTTTCTTTCGATACAATTATTTTTATTTCATTTTCTGTGATTCATATTTAACTATGCCCAATCAAACAAAGTCAATTTTTTTAAAACAACAATTTGCATTGTTTCTTTTGTACCATTTATTAGCCTAACTCTACATTTTGTCGATTTTCATCAAAATTATTTTTATAGGTATTTTATAGTAAATGATTCTACCAACTAGCTCTGTTTATAAGACATTTTTACTTCATAATAGATTGAATTTAAAGTTTCAATCTCACTAGATTTCCTAAGTTGTAGTAACAATCTGGATATCTTTTTCGAAACTGTAAAGCCATCAGGTAACTCTTTTTTGCATTATTCATCTTTTTTAAACTTGATTGAACAATACCAAGATTCATCCATGCAGCAGCAAAATCAGGCCTAAAATAAAAATGGTAAAATAAAAAAGATTAACTATGAATGTGCGTCACAACACAACTTCAAATATCTATTCAACAATCAGAAGCAATTTTAAGTCACTTCAAAATTTCTCTCTCCTAAACTTCTATTTTCAATAATTGGCTTCTCTATTTGTTAAAAGAATTAGACTTTCAAGAAAAATTTGATATAATAAAAAATTATCAGCTTATTCTATATTTTAAAAGACTACTCAGAATAACTTATCATATAATCATCAGAATTTAACGTATATCATATCGACTTTATTTTAATGGTTCGAGATGCAAATTAATACAAATAATATTTTAAGTTATAAAATCAGACACAAAAAAAATAAATAAATACTTTTTCCGAATAAACACACCCTTTTTTGATGGATTTGGATTTCTGATCAAAATATGGTAGGTAGTTTTAATCTAGGAAATATCTCAATAAACTCGTCAGGAGAGAGGTCGAAAGTTTAAAATTCATAATTTTACTTTTTTTTAGTCACATTTGTAATATTTATTGAGTTGAATCGAACGTTTTTATCAAAAGAAAATTTTCATGCAAAAAAGTCAATTGAATTATTTATTATTTTCTATTGAAAATTCCAAAAAATTTTGCATAATAAGGTGTATAAATTTTTAAATCATTTTAAAGAATGTAATTTTATACAAGGAAATATAAAACTTGAATGAAATCGGTTGAATAGTTTCAGCAATATCAAAACTTCAAATTTAAAAATGTCATATGTTTAAAATTTGATTTCTTAGGAGCTATTTGATTTTGTTCAATTTCGCGTTTTGCCATAGAAAAGTGCTTTCTTTAAACATGATGTAAACAATTGAGTATCTTACACTTCATTTATTTTGCCATTGTTGACTTTTGCCAACAAAAATTCATCACTCTGTAGCTCCACAATGCCGTGGTGCTTTTAGCAGCATTTCTTTTAATCCATGAAATAATGTATTTTGCATGCTGATTGCGGAGGTGGGAAGGCAAAAATTCAACACGGACTTTACTCTCAGCATTACTCTAATTTCACATTATCAGTATTAAGTGAAAATCGGAAAATACACAACCACCACAGACTTAACCCTTTGTGGCTCCCGAAAATAGTATAAAGACAAAATGCAAATGGGAGAGATAAAAATCTTGTAAGAACAGTGCGGCTTGCCTTAGAACATGTAAGTAACATGCAGGGTGCAGCCATTAATTTCCAGGACAGATCTAATAACTCCCGAAAATATGTGAATTACATACCTATTTCTATGTAACCTCAGCTTTATGCAATTCTACACTAAGCTGTAAAAGTTTCAGTTAACAACTTAAAAACCCTCGTTTGGAAAGTTCTTCAATTCTGGCATTGGGTGTTTTCTTACTGACTTTGACATCTTATTCACCATACTCCTCTGTATGTTTCTGAAACAGAAAAAAATTGCTGAAAGATCAAGATTTAAGGATGTTGGAGTCATTAAGAAAACCCCAACATCAGAATTGAAGAGTATTCCAAAAGAGGACTTTAAACACTTGTTTCTGAAACTTTTGCAGCCAATTACAGAAGTGAATTACATCAGATGGACCTAGCTTTGAAATATATAGAATGGGTATGAAATTTACATATTTTCTGGACTCATTAGATCAGTCCTGGAAATTATGGTCTGCATCTTGCATGAAAAATTTCTTGTTACTAAATTATTTTAGTAAAAAGAAAAAAATCAGGTTTCAAAGTATAGATCATCAGAACACCATGAGTTAAACTTCAATGTTTGTAAATGCTAGCCTTTCTTTCCTAAATCGATTATATATACCACCAGACATGTCTATTGTATGTATAAATATAAAAATATTTTAAACAAAATGAAAGAACTTTGGAATGAAACACAGATGAATATATTAAGTAAAATAAATGTAAAATGAAACTGGTTGTCTAAAGAAGTTTTCTCCTGCTTTTTTTCTTTTTTTTAATAAGGGGCAGTAGCAGTCTCAAAGTATGCTACTAGTTCCTTAAACAAATAATGTGTTAAAATAAATGTTTATTATAAAATGGATAACTTGAATATCTTGTCTCTACAAGAACCATTTTGTTCTGCTTAAATTTTAAACAAAAAAATTTAAAAAGAAATCACCTTATTTTTATAGCAGAAATTAACAACTCTTCAGCTTCAATCAATTCTCCTTGATCCTTCAATATGTTTGCAAGATTGTTCATTGCTTGATCATAAAGAGGATTTAATCTAAAAAACATACAATATTTACATTATTTCTTTTTAAAATTGTAAGTCGAAAAATGAAAACAAGTAATAACCTGATTGCTTCTTTGTATCCTATAATGGCAGTTTCTTTATCACCTTTATCAGCAGCATTTTTAGCTATGTTGTAATGGACCTAAAAAAACATCTATAACTAATCTTGGAACAAAAAGATGGAATTTTTCACTAAATATAATAAAAATTTAAAATAATTGCTCATACATGTAAGACTTTATGTGCCAATATTTTAAAATTAAATATTTTGTGAAGACTGATACAATATTTGATAAACTGATTATCCAATTAGCACAGAGCCGGATTATACCTTCCTAGGCCCTAGGCATAGCTGTTTTTGGGCCCTTCCCTCCTTCCCCCACTCCTCCCCTCTTTTCAAAATATATGCTAAAATTTTCTTGCATATTTTTTTTAAACATTTTTATTAATATGGATTTTAATTTACGAATTTGCTTATTGAACTTTATCTGCAATACCGACATACTGCCGATATTGCAGTTGATATCGATAATACCATTATGATTAGTTCGATCGATAACTATGTAAACACTTCACGTCAACAATACAACAACAAACCAGCAAAGAAAACAGTGAAATTGATAGTGAGATTAATTACAAGAAATATTTATACAGTAGAGAACCAATTATCTGGGATGCTCGGGACCATCGCTATCCCGGATGTCTGAATTTCCCAGTTTTCTGGATCGACCAAAAAGTGTCATTAATCGATGTTTTATCGAACCCGAATTACAAGGAAATTACACAAAAATTTGTCAGAATCTGAGATTAAACTAAAAGCGCAAAATTTGGTGAAAATTTACTCATCCGATTTAGAGAAAAACTTTGTAGATGAATTTTTACTATTTTCAAATTTATATGAACATAAATCTGCACAAGAAATGTTGAAGGCTCAAATTAAAGATAAACTTGTGAATACTTTTCCTAACGTTCACATTGCATTAAGAATATATTTGTCGATTCTTGGATCAAATGCAGAAGGAGAAAGATCTTTCTCCAGATTAAAATTGATAAAAAATTATTTGCGTTCAACAATGAATCAAGATCGTTTGGCATCGCTCGCACTTATGTCTATTGAATACGACATTTTGCGTAGTTTGGAATTCGACAGCATAATACAAGATTTTGTTGAATCCAAAAAAGTTATATATATTAGATCATAAGATTCTGCAAAATAATTTATTATTTATTAACAAATATAAAATTTAATAATTTATTAACAAATTTTTTTCTCCCAAGTTTTTCGTAGGCCCTAGGCACGTGCCTAGTGTGCCTATAGGTTAATCCGGCCCTGAATTAGCAAGAATTTTTGTTTGTGTGTGAGATATGCTCAAGTCAAAAGCTTCATTAAAATAGTTTTATGCTTATTTTTCTTAATAAAGCAAATTCTAGATGAAAAAAATATCACTTCAATAATAGTAATTTTGTCAAATTTTATTTTTAAGCTTACAGGATGTTTATTAAAATAAAAATTAGTATCAATAAATCTTAACAGAAGTGCATTAATATTGTTTCAAAATAACAGTTAAACATTGCTTTTTCATATATGATCATATGTAAGGATTAAGCAGGAACATAAAAATGGCTCACTTATTTTTTAAAAAGGACAATGGACTTATAAAAAATCAAACATTGACTTAAGAGGCACTGACAATCAAAACAGATTCACAGATCAAACAAACTTTTTAAAAATTTAGAATTTCTCAGAAGATTAAGCTTCATCACTAGTGGTAATTGTTTTATATCTTTCCTAAAAGTTATTCCTATTATAAAAAAGAAGCTAGAAAACAAAAAACATAGACATAACAAAATCACAACAGTTTAAAGACAAGCTTTTGCTTCAAAATATGCACCAACTTATTAAAAAATATATGTATTAGCAAAGCTACTAACTTGCAAATAGTTCACAAGAGAAGGCAATTAAATGTAACTCACACTGACAAGTTTTTTTTTTTAAAAAATTTAATAGCGGGTTAATAATTTTCACTGTTTTAAAGGCATTTCACTTTTAACATAATAAATATATATCTAATAAGACCAAATGTTAATAATTAGACTATCATTGATGCAGGAATTTTATTTTATTTATTTATTATGCACAAGAAAGAGGTTTGTAGTTTTGAGAAAGGTGAACACTTTTTTCAGCAATACCAAAATTTGTGCATATTTTAATGAATTAAGTGCAAACACGTAGGAAGGGACCATCAATCAAGGACATCTGTGTCATTGCCAACAACCAAAGAATAAGTTATAAACTACTGTAACTTGATGGAATTGGAGTGTCTAAATTCAATTATGAAAAATAATTAAAACTAACCTTTAAAATGCTTTAAATTTTTTTTTAAGTATACAAACATGCAAGGTAAGAGCACAACATAACTCTAAATTGGCAATTGGAGACAATCGAAATTTTGTGTACCATATAATTATATTTAGTCAAGACTAAAAATCACTGAAATATTTGATTAATAAGTTGTTAAAAATACAATTTCTTTTAATATTTTTCAAAAATAAAAACAAGACATATTCTACATTTAAGAACGATATAGTACAGTAGAGAACCAATTACCCAGGATGCTCGGGACCATCGCTATCCCGGATGTCTGAATTTCCCGTTTTCTGGATCGACCAAAAAGTGTCGTTAATCGATGTTTTATCGAACCCGAATTACAAGGAAAAAGTGTAACACATTTTAAAGTAAGAGAAAAAAGAAAAGCACTCCTAAATTTAAAAAGATAAAAAAACGGTAGAAAAATAACATTTAAAAGAATAAAAAAAATTGCAAGTTTAGACAAGAAAAACAAGTTTAAAAAAAAACAAAATTCTCACATTTATTTTTTTAAAATAATCCCAATTCCTAAATTAACTAATATAAACAAAACCAATGATTAAATAACGTAATATATTTCATACCAAATTATTCAGGGGGTAAAACGATAAAATAAAAGGAAAACTTATTAATCTAAATAAAAAAAACGAAAATTATCAAACCGAAAAGATTGTTAAAAAAGGCACTAACTTAAATATTAAAACCTGGAACAAGGCAAGATCAATAAAATCAACGGAATTAAAAAAGAAAAAACCTAATGATAAAAATTATGAATAAAAAGAATTAATTTATTGAGTGCGAAATTTATCGTGAAAAGAAAAAAAAATCAACGTAGCAGAATCAGAAAAACAAAACTGCAATCTGCTCCATAAAATAATCATATGTTTAAATTAATAAACAATTCTCCTTTTTTTATTTACAAAAACACGATTTTTAGCGAAAGCAGATGTGATCCCACATCAAGAAAAACTTTCAAATGATACACTTCCAAAGAATCAGAATTTATTGAAAAGAAAAATATTTTATTTTTATTAATGGATTTGTTAATCGATGTCAAATAGATAAATATATTTTTGTCTTTGATCTTCTGTTCCCTGATATGCATGTGCAATGCATTTCCCCCACCCCCTCGTAAATCAAAGAGAAAACGAAACCAGCATGAGAGAAATCCTTTGAGTTTGATTGACGGCCTAAAGGAGAAAATAAAACATTCATCCCTTCCCTGCCTCCTCTCGATCTGAAGATCTTCAAGGTCATGGAAGAAGCGACATTTCTCTGGGTAAACAGGAAAAAAAATTCTCCCCCTCCTCACATTTTCCTCTACTCAACTTCAAGGATGAGTTCAATTTCCGCTTTTTTTCATAATTGTTCTAGTTTAAAATGGCGGGAAAAGTGAGCAAAATTTTTCCCGGTTATCTGGACACCGGATAAATGGTTCTCTACTGTACAGCTTTTCAAAGCTAGAAAAATAGCATATCAGATTAATAGTAATATCATAAAATTAAAAGATACAACTTTTATACAGCAAATTTGTTTAAGTTTATATTTTATTTAATGAATATTTAAAAAATTTTCCCTTTTTTTCTCCAATAATATAGACTTTTTTGCTTCTTTTATTAAAAGTTATTATAAATGTTACAGACAATCTTTTTGCAAAGAAAGCTGACAAATTAAAGAATACAAAACTAGCGTAAAACATATGAATACTTAGTCAGGCTTATTACATACAGAAAAATATAACACTACATTGAAAAAAATTTCCTGCTCTCCTTCATTAGGCAGTTAAAAATAAAAAATGAAGGGGAAAAAATAGAATGATGGAAAGGGCGAGAATTCAATGAGCACATAGAAGATGAAACATCGAGAATTGGAAGAAAAAAGAAACAATCAAAACAGGGAAAAGAGATGGAGGAGAAGAAACGAGAAGACAGGAGCAAAGCTTAGAAATAAAGACACTTAAACTAGTTTCTCCAAGCAGTAGATAAAAACTAAGATTTTTTTTTCTATTAAACTAACTTCTACTAAATAACTTGATTATAAAAAAAAAGTGGCTAGATTTAAAAAAGAGAGCTGAATGTTGCAATTATTATTAAAAATAAATAAATTCAAGATGAAAAAAAATCAGAATCTTAAAAAAAAAAAAAAATATCCATTATTATAAACAAGGGTAATATTGTAAATAGAAAAATGTACTTGTGTTAAAAAATTTAAATATTTGTTTAGACACCAAAAATGGAATTTCAAGTAAAAAAATGTATTCTATTTATTTTTAACTTATTTAAATATTCCTTGGCATTAAATGTGTTTAAATTATTAAACACAGCTGTAAAAAATAAAATAAAAGCTACTTAAGTTCAGAATAAATATTCTAATTGAAAATTCAAACTGAGAACACAAATTGAGGCATTTTTAAAGTTCAATTTATTCTCTTAATTTTTACTCACTAGTAAAGACATTTAAATTATCAGATTCAACCTGAAAGAAACTTTTAAATAATGTACATGTAAGAAACTCAAATCCCAAAGAATTACATTGAAAAATAATTTCTTGGAAATAAAGATATGGAAGAGAAGAAAGAAGAGCCTGACTTTATACACATGTCAAACAAGAGAGGAAGAGAAGTGAAACGCAATTGAAGAAACTAACAAAGAATCAAAAGTAATAGTTTACATAAAGATCAACATCAAACTCTGTAATTAAAATAATCCAATACTTAAAAAATAAAATTGCATTAAATTTTTACTTTGTTCTTTCTTTGAATTCTGGAAATTCCAAAGAAAAAAAAAAGATTGTTAAAATGTTATTTCAAAAATGCCATAATTTAGTAATATGTACAAATGTAATTTTGATTTTAAAATTTATTAGAGTTTATTTAAAACTAACTTAAAAATCATTAAAAAAACATTGAAAATCGCATATAAATGCTTAGTAAATTTTTACATAGATGATTTCTCTTTAAAAAAATCATTTGATTTAAATGAAAAAAATCCTGCTATACACCTTACAATTCTCTGTGTTTGCAAAAGTAGATGAAAACCTCTCAGTCAAGTAAGCTTCAGTAGTCCCTAATTCAGATTCCTACAGAGTTATGAAAATATTGAAGCTATCTAGCATTTTCTACAGGCATTTCTTGACAAGACAGCAATGTAAAATTCAAATAAATGTTTTAAGTTTTTTAAAAGGATTGTTTTTTTAAAATTAGCATACTAATGAATTATACCTTAGCATTCAAAGGGCAAACGCTCAAGCCAGATTTGAATAATGTTTCTTCATTCCTCCAATCAAGACTACGCTGAAAAATATTTGTGAAATATTGTGAATTTATTTTATGTACATAAAAAATTTATGCCAAATTTGATATGTTTAATATCAAGAAATAAAGTTTATTTTATACAAAAGGAATTTTCCTTTAAAACATGCATAACTTTATGACTTACCTGACAAAAAGTGATGGAATTCATTGTTTTTCAAAACAAAAATTTCCTTTTTGTAAATGTATTATCCTTCAAAAGTAAGAAAAATAAAAAAAAATCCAATTTCCTTAAAAATTAAAATTGAAGTACATACACATATAGAATGCACCATAGAGCTTGTCCTGAATTTATAAACAGGGTTCATATTCAAAAAAAGTTTTTTCCCTGACTTTCCCAGGTATGTAAAATTCCAGGATTTAAAAAAAATTCAGCAAATCTTATATTTAATAAAAATGTTAATTAGAATTATAAATAAAATAACAACTTGAAGTAGGCATTTAGAAACTTTTTATTAATCAAACAGAATAAATAACTAAAAATAATACTTTTCATCAAAAGACAAGCTAAAATAAACAAATCATGCTTTATCCTAAAGTATGAAAAAAGCTGCAAGAAAACAAAAAATAAAGGAGAACTTATTAATCAATAAAAGAACAATTTTTTAACAACTAAGTCATCCTAAAAAATAATTTTAAAAAATGAATAAATAACATAAAAATATTATACTAAGAATGTATTTAATTAAGAACAAAATTTAATTAAAATCAATAAATATAAAACAGAGCAGTTCACCATTCCTCTTTAATACACACCTTTTACATTCAGTAAGAAAAGATAATTTTTTTTTCGGCCAGAAAATCACAAATGATAAGACATGTTTAGGAGTAAGTTAAGATTCCAGAACTTTTTTTAATCTAATCACACCTGAAAAATATTTTAAGGGCTAAATATGGGAACACTTACATGAATGCATCGTACTCCAAATGCAGTCAGCAGAATGAATACACTGCATTGAATACACTGAAAAAAAAAAGTTTTTAATAATGGAAATATTAACAAAGATAGAAAAATTATTCATATGAACAGTCTTAAATATATATTCTGAATGTCCGATGAATAACTTACTTTCAACAACTGAATTTTTTAAATTTATTTATGTATTTCTCAAGACCACATAACTTAATGCTAAAATAAAGTTCGATAGTTAAAAAAATTTTAACTTTTAAATGTGATTTCAATAAATAAGACTTTATAGGTATATTTACTATTTACAACACAACATTACATTTTCACAATGCAATTATTTAAATATTTTCTGTCCTCACTTTTAAATGAATGTAACTGTTGCATCAATTCAACTCAAATCTTTAATGTTATTATTTTTAATTGACAAAAAAATTTCATCCAATAAAACTTTTAATAATTGAAATGAAAGTAGAACACAATGCTCATTGATGTTTATAATGCTATAGCAAAAGTTTATACCTTCATTTCACTAAAATATTGAGAAAAAAAAACTTATCGATAAAACACCAACAAATTTTTAAAATTTAAATATATCTTTAAGGCCTTAATTTAAGAGAATTTAGTAAAAAAAAAAAAAAAAAGAGTTTTGAAGTGTGAAATATGAATTCCAACTTCAAGTTTCAATTACTTTTATTTACATGGCACATAAACATAGTATATATATACATATATATACAGTCAAACCCCGCTATAGTGAACCTTCAAGGGATCGAAATTTCGGTTCACTACAACCGGGAGTTCACTATATCAGTTACGCAGGCAATTCAACTAACTGTTCCCAATTTCTTCCTTTTATTACACATTATTCAAATAAATGACTGAAAAATATTATGCAGGAGCAAAAAATGTGTTATTTTTCGTTACTCTTCGTCTTGTGTACAAAAAAAAAATTAGTAATCTTTTGCTGATGAGCAATCCTCAACATCAGATATGAAAACACTTCCCGAATCTCAGATAATTTCTCCTGAATTTCTGTTATTCCACTTTTTAAACCTGTCTAACCTGCTATTCGAGCACATAAAAGTATTCTCATAAAATCACTTAGCAAATTCATCGACATTTGTCCAGATACTGGAAGATTCCGGCTTCTTTGAATGGTGAATCACTTCAGCAATGCTTCTTCAACATCCTTGTGATCTGCTTTTCTCAACTTTTTTCTGCCATCTAAATTTTTTTCATCAGCAGAAATTATTAATTGCCTATTTTTCCATGTATGAAAAACTGCAGATTTGGATAGTTTATGATCCCTGAAAATATCAGCTTGATTGCATCCATTTTCACATTTTCTGATTATGTCCGTTTTATCATCAATGGAGAACGTTTCACGTTTACTGCTCGCCATAGTTAAATTTGAGTTACTTGTTTGCAGGATTGTTTTAACTGAACTGAGAGCAAAAAGGAGTTGAAATGACGGCCTTATCAATACATATTAGTGTCCAACCCTTTGACCAATAATGAATAATTACTAATTCCCTCTGACAGAAAATGCATATTGATCCCACTGATACCTTACAGATGCATCATCTGCCTGGATTGGAAACATCTGCTTGGTTTGTTTAGGGATAGGAAAGTGAGATAAAAGAAGCAAAGCAATAGAAAATGTTTATCGCTACATTCCCCTCTATAGATGGTTTTAAACATTGGTATATGTATTTATTTTGAAGAAGAAATTTCAAAATTATTACCAAAAAATGAGAAAAAAAATCAGTGGAAAACAGAAAAAAGTTCATATTCAGTTCTTCCTCACTTTTTTGGTTCACTATATCCACAAAAAATAACATAGGTGCATAGCAAGGTATTTCGCTCACTATATCCGGGAGTTCACTATAAATAGCGGGGTTTGACTGTATATATATATATATATGTTACCGTTAAGGTATATAATGCATCTATTTCATAGAATACCTAGTTATTCCATTAAATAACTGATCGTATCCGTTAAAGTGTGTAATATATTATTAATTTGACACTTTAACTAGTTAATCTATGAAATAACTAGGGATTCTATAAATTAACTAATGAGAGACAGTTAAAGTGTAAAATAAACAATTTATCTAAAATGAAATAACTAGGTATTCTATAAATAAACTAATGATAGACAATTAAAATGAAAAAGAAGCAATTAATCTAATTTATGCAGCGTATAAATGGTATTTATGGAAATGTACCATAAAATCATTTGTTACAGCAAGGATTACTAAAATGACACTTGGAATTACAAAGAACATTCTTTCTAAAACAAAAACATTTTTTGCTGACACACTGGGTTTCGCACGAACATTTTTTAAATCCCTGACCAGTACCTAAACTTTGAGCTGTAGCAACCGACCGGAGCGATATTTCTACATCCGGTACTTCTTCGATTTTAATTAATTTTTGTTCGCAGACACTGAACTGG